AATGATTAAAAGACAGGATGACGTCTAGAAGGCGTGAAAAGCGCTATATCAAATGCAAGGTTATTATTATTAATAAAAGTTATTACTGATTAAGTCTAACTATGCTGGTCAGCTTTCCCTCCTCCACCCCTCCTACTGGCAATGTCTGATTAAAGTTCACAAAATTTGTATTGTTACAAGTTATATCTATATCTGACCTGTCAGTAACTAAGACATCAGAAACTGTCTGTTCAAACCTTGCTTTTTCTAAAATAATCCTCCATGTTAATTGGTCAGCCACCTCATCGCCATTGAACCCAGTTCTCCAAGATGCTATCCTGCATGAAGAGCGCTATATAAATGCAAGTTGTCGTTGTTGGTGGTAATGATTTCAATAATAATAATCCTGGCATTTGATATAGCGCTTTTCACGTCTTCTAGACGTCTCAAAGCGCTTCATAGAATATACTGTAAAGTGAATTGACTGTATATTTGTGCGCGAAATGCGGCAACCAATTGCGCACCTCAGTGTCCCACAAACAGTCGTGGATTAAGTCACCAAATGTTTTTTTGGGGGGAGGGTGGATTATTATCCCCGGAAAAGCGCTCTGCCAATCGACTAACAACCAGGTTCCTATTTACTGCTAGGTAAACAGAACCATGTGGAATAAGGAAACTTTCCCAACATTTCGCCCCGCCAGGAATCGAACCCAGGTCTCTCGCTTGCGAGGCGAGTGATCTAACCACTGAGCTACAGGACTCCACGGATTCCATGTTGACAGTAATCATCAATGAAATTGTTTGAGAGATTTGAGCATTGGGTAGTTTACTGTTAAACACCAACAGTGGGGTTAGACAGTTCAAAAGAATGGAACTATAGTCCTTTCTCTGGTATCTTTTAAAACCTTATACCTCAGGTATTTCCCAACCCCCACACACACTCCATCGCACCTACGTAGGGTTTGTTACCCTAAAAGCTGAGCAAGTAAATATTTAGTTTTTTGCATTTTCACTGCAACAAGGCAAGACATGCCAATATATTGCGTTTATGCTAGGGAATCAGAAGTTTGGAGGAAAAAGGTAAGTGAATGGACTAAAACATTTGCTTTTAAAAGAAGCCAGAACAGAGACGATGAACCAAATGGCCTTCTTCTGTGCTGTAAACTACTATAGTTCTGCACTGCAAAGTTCATTCAACTGGAAAGTCCTGACACTGTCAATGTTGTGAATTCCTTACTGTTTACTTTGCCTTTGTGTAATACTCTCTGGCATTAGGTAAGCAGGGTGTGTTCCCTCCAGGGAGACAGTGCATATTCAATTCCAGTCACAAAATTCAATGTGTTCATATGTTGAATTCTCAGTCTGGTTTGGATATCCTTAAGCATGGTGGTGTCTACCAATGTCAGACACTCAGCTGACTAAACAAAAGGCATGCAGAATCGTTTCCAAGTTGCAATTTTTATTTTATGGCCTTGTATCTCCTGTTGCAGTACTACAACTGACCACTAATACTTGGACCACTAAAACCACTAATACAAAACACTAATACACTGCAATCCAAAACACAGCAACCAGATCCGCGAGAGGTGTGTTTTATCCTGCTGCCTCCGTCTGGAATGCATACAAGGCATTGCTGGAGGCAACAACCCTTTATTTACAATATATTAAACTACTGCAAATAATAACTGTGGTAATAATACTATTTAGCTTATACATAGGGAGGACATTGAAAAGTGCCTTGCATCATACAGGACTCGCTGTCAAAGAATGCATACCTTCCGATGCCGAGTAGTGCCTGTTAATGACTTACTTGCTCAGCTGATCAAAACAGAATGTCGTAACACTTCCCACAATGAGTGGGGTTTAACATGAGAGGCACCAGTAATCTTAACAAAGGGCAAAGGACTGCATCGCTAGACTGGGTAAAGCATGGCCCTCAAGAAGCATAATACCCTGTTGTGTGAGGAAAAGGCTCAGGAATGTTTCAGGAAAAGAAATGCCGATATGTCTCAGTACTTTTATTAACAGACCTGTATACAGACGGAATTCACAGCAGTACAAAAGAAACAACAACTTACATTTGTATAGCGCCTTTCACATCGGGAGGACGTCCCAAGACACTGGACAGTCAGGGATTTGGACCCGAGTTGGGGGTTGGCGTCTCAGAGCACTTCACAGGAATGGACTGAGCCAGGGGGAGGGGGAGAGGAAGGTGACCAAAGGCGCGGTAGAAAAGAAAGGTCTTCAGCAGAGACCTGAAAATAGAAAGGGAGGGAACAAGGCGAAGGGAGTAAGGAAAGCAGTTCCAGAGCCTTGGGGCGTAGCGGCTGAAGGCACGGCTGCTTAGGGTGGAGCGTATGACTCGGGGGACGAGGAGGACGCAAGACCCGGAGGAACGAAAGCAACTGTTTTGAGGAGAGAGGAGGTCAGAGAGGTAGGGGGATGCAGAGGAGTGCAGGGACTTGAATACAAGGGTGAGGATCTTGAAATCGATCCTCTCTGGGATAGGCAGCCAGTGCAGTCTGGCAAGGATTGGGTTAATCAGGGAGCGGAATTTCATGCGGGTGAGAATGTGGGCATATGATACAGAGATTTTCATGTCAATTGAATGTCACAAAGTGTTTCGTTTTGTCACTCTTAAGTGCAGTGACTGCATATTTTGTAGACAAACAGCAGCCGCTGTGCAAACCAATGTCCCACAAACAGCCAATATGTCTAATTAACCGCTGCCCAGTCCCGGCCTGAGACATACCTGCGATAACAGTGAGAACACGATCATGTAACACATGTGCGATAGTCATGTGTTTACATCACCTCCGTGACAGGCACAAGAGGACAGAAGGGGGAGGGATAACAAAATAATAATAATCCTTGCGTTTGATATAGTGCCTTATCACGTCGTTGAGAAGTCTCAAAGCCCTTCACAGGATTTATTGTAAAGTGTAATGACTGTGTGTTTTATAGGTAAATGTGGCAAGCAGTTTGTGCACAGCAATGTCCTACAAACAGCCACGGAGTGAGTGACCAAATGTATTTAGTAGGAAACCAGTTGTTGGTCTATTGGCGGATCACTTTCCCAAGGGGTGATAATTCCAGGGGTAAAATAAAACTGGTCACTCAATCCATGACTGTTTGTCCATGACACTGTGCAATTGGCTCCCACGTTTCACCGACAATATATATAGTCAATTCACTTAACAGTATATTCTGTGAAGCACTTTGAGACGTCTCGAAGACGTACTAAGGCGCTGGATCAAAGGCAACGGTTATTATTATTATTATTATTTGGGGAATTGTTGGCCAGGAGAATCTCCCTCCACTTTTCAAATAGTGCCATGAGATCTTTAACGTTCACCTGAACAGACAGACGGAACCTCAGTTTAGTGCTTTCATCTGAAGGACGGCACCTCCGACAATGAAACACCCCCCAGCACTGCATTGGCACGTCAGCTTAGACAATATGAGTTCCAAGTCCTAACTTGGGGCTTGAACCCACAACCTCCTGACTCAGAGGTGAGAGTGCTACCACTGAACCAAGTGGATGTGGATAATACCACAACCTACATCAAGTGGCAACAGGAAGAGCGATACCCCATTGCCAGCGCTGCCATTTTTACACTGTTCGTCTCCATATGCCAAGCAGGAGCGGAACGTCCCACCAGAGCTACGTTTAGCTTGATGGACAATACAAACGTGGCTATTGGAAATCACTTGGCCTCCCCTATCAGCCCGGCAAGGCCTTGTGAAACACTCCATCCAAACGTAAATCAATATAAATCGCTCCCAGGTATTTGTGTCTGCCCTACATCATAACCCACTAAAACCAGTCAAAAAGGGAGGGACAGCACAGACACTCACAATAAATTGTGATTTTGTAGGAGCCAAGAATTTACAAGGATAGCAGAACCAAAGATAACAGAGGCAGACCATCCCCCACGTCTGCAACTCACTACTGTCAGGCAAACTCAGCAAAATACACTTTCGTAAGGAACATCTGGCTGGAGTGTTTTCATTCGAGTCCATCCTCCTCCCCCCCCACTGCTCGGGAAACCTAACATCAACTCAACCAGGAATAGAGTAAATTAAAAGCACACAAAGTACTCCACGCTTTGCTGATTATCACACTTATTAACAGTTGGTATGTGGGAAGAGGTAAGAGAGAGAAGGGGAGGAGGTGGGGGGAGGAGAGAGAAGGGGGCAAGAGAGAGAAGGGGAGCAAGAGAAAGAGTGGGGGCAAGAGAGAGAATGGTGGGGGGTAAGATAGAGAGTGGTGGGTAAGAGAGAGAAGGGGAGGGGGTGTAAGAAACAAAGTGCAAAAAAAAACTTTTAAAAAGAAAAAAACACACAACTTAAAGCACAAGTTCTTTCAAACTACAGAAAACATAACAAAATATGTGCCCACTTGTGAGTGGAACAACACTAAACATTGCAAAATAATCATCAGACTTTGGATGTATTATATCATTTGCAAGAGTTTTTTTTAAATGACTAACTATAGCAATTATAACTATGGAGCATTTGTACCAAATTAGCAACTTGCTCTCCACTGTGCTGGGAGTTCTGGGTGGGAAGTTGTGAGCACTCTGCTCAACTTTTTATATAGAATAGATAACATTATACACACACATATATATATATATGTACACACACACACAATGTGGAGTCCTGTAGCTTAGTGGTTAGAGCACTCGCCTCGCAAGTGAGAGATCTGGGTTTGATTCGTGGCAGGGCGAAACCTTGGGCAGGTTTTCTTCCTCCACACGCCTGAAAATGATCCCTCAAGAAAAAAAACAATAATAAATTGGTCGCTTCAATCCACGACTGTTTGTGGGACACTGCTGTGTGCAATTGGCTGCTGCGTTTCGCCCACAAATATACATTCAATTCACAAAGCGCTATATCAAATGCAAGGATTATTATATATACACATACATATATATACACACACACATATACACACACAACTACACACATACAACCTCTTCCCTCCCCTCTCCCCTCTTCCACCAACAACAACTCACCACATCCACAGGGAAAATAAAGTGAAGTCAACATCCACAGGAGTTTGGAGAGATTCATGGTGAAGCTGGGAAAGCGGCTCCAGGGCTGTGTTGGTGCTAGTGAGTGAGCAGAGCCCACCTCCACAACTACAATGTATCCAGACTAGCTACACTGTAGTGCTGGAGTGCTCTGTGCCTGTGCAGTGTGTCCTGCTCTGTGCGTGTGTGTGTGCACAGTGTGTCCTGCTCTCTGTGTGTGTGTGCAGTGTGTCCTGCTCTGTGCGTGTGTGTGCAGTGTGTCCTGCTCTGTGTGTGTGTGCAGTGTGTCCTGCTCTGTGTGTGTGTGCAGTGTGTCCTGCTCTGTGTGTGTGTGCAGTGTGTCCTGCTCTGTGTGTGTGTGCAGTGTGTCCTGCTCTGTGCGCGTGTGTGCAGTGTGTCCTGCTCTCTGTGTATGTGTTCACTGCTCCACAGTCATGTACTGTCACAGGAACAGGAGCAAATCTGCACCACACGTGACCTCAGTGCCCAGAGGCAGCTTTTATGGATTATTGCTGTGTTTCCTTTTTCTGACTCAAAATCCAAACACTGCAGTTGGTATTGGAGAAAAGTTGTTTTGAGGCAAAAGTGCTGTTTTTAAACCTGGGCTGCCCACTAACTTGGGGAGACGTGTGTGTGTTTTTCTCTCTCTCTCTCTCTCTCTCCCCCCTCCTCTGTGTGTGGCGGTTGACTGTCCTGGTAATATAGCAGTGCTAACTTAGCGCTGGGGCCATTTCACCCACTGACCTGTTGCTGTCCACACACTGCCCCCGCCACCTGCTGGGCAGTCAGGGCAACACTTTCTGACTCCATGTCTGCACTGCACTGTACTTTCAAGCCGTTTGCTCTTTCTCCAACGTAGCCTTTCACATCCTCCTGACGTGAAAGGCGCTATACAAATGTAATTTTGTTGTTGTTGTTACTTGCATACGTTCAAGGTACTTTGCAGCATATACAGTACCACGGGCATCAAGACCTGGATGAGCGCAAATTTCCTGCAGCTGAATGTCGGCAAGACCGAAGCCATGCTTATTGGCTCCCATCAACGTCCTCTCTCCTGTGAGTCCGAACATCTCAATCTCCCCGGGTTCTCCCTCAGACTTACCGAAGCCACATGCAATTTAGACTTCAGCATCGATCTCCAGCTTTCTTTTCTACCCCACATCTGTTCCCTGACCAGGACCTCTTTTTCCACCTTCGTCACATTGCCCACCTCCGTCCGTACCTCAAAACAAAAGCAGCTGAAATCCTCGTCCACACCTTCGTCACTTCCCGGCTGGATTTTTCCAATGCCCTCCTTGTTGGTCTCCCCACTCCACCATACACAAAATTCAACTAATTAAAAACTCCGCCGCCTGCATACTCACCTCCACAAAACTCTGTACCCCCATCACACCAGTCCTTGGCAGCCACCACTGGCTCCCAATTACTGAATGGATCGATTTCAAGATCCTGTCTCTCATTTTCAAATCTCTTTATGTGGTTTAGAGTGGTGGATAAATGAGAGTTTGGATTGCCAAATAAAGAAGCTACTAATGCACCCTTGATTTGAGTAATATTACAGTCTACATGAACAACCTGTATAACTCACTGTTGAATTTATCACAATGAGTTCAACCATCATTCATTCTGGAAATATTTTTTGTAACCGAAGCACTTTGAAGAAGTACTTAAGTTAACACTGGTTTACTAGACCCTGACCACTTCCATCTGCCTCGTGTTGCTTGAAGTAAGATATTTCCAAGAACTTAAAGTCACTTTTTCAACTAATTGACCATTTTGGAAGCCACAATGCAAACTGACAATTGTTGCAAATTGTCGCTAATATATTGTGGCCAATATGTAAGTTTGAACTAAGTGCATGATCAGTCAGGTCTAGTGAAAGTTGGAGCAGAGCTGCCACTATTTTCAGCAGATATTTCATCTTGCGAACTGATGTGCTACTTCCTTGCAATAGCTACAACCCGCTAAGTTGTAGAAGCTTCTAAAATTAAATTTGTCACCTACACAAGACCTGGAGGTGTGGTTACCCATGAGCGAGACCCAGCTCTGCCTATAACTGTCATTAGCTTGTGTTAATAATTCAGCAGGCAGTGGTAAGAATGTAGAGTTTATTGTATAAGTGGAGTCCTGTAGCTCAGTGGTTAGAGCACTTGCTTTGCAAGCAAGACACCTGGGTTCAATTCCAGGCAGGGCGAAACCTTGGGCAAGTTTCCTTACTCCACACGCCTAATAATAATCCCTCCAAAAAACCCAAAACAATAATAAATTGGTCATTTTCAATCTACGACTGTTTGTGGGACATTGCTGTGCGCAATTGGCTGCCGCGTTCGCCCACAAATATACAGTCAATTCACTTTACAGTATATTCTGTGAAGCGCTTTGGGACGTCCTCCCGACGTGAAAAGCGCTATATCAAATGCAAGGATTATTATTATTATTATTATTATAAGATGAAACATAAGGTTTAACAATCTGTAATCAGATTATACTACATATAACAACACAATAACAGTGCAACACATCTATGTGAGCAAAACATTTACCACACAGCACAAACTCAGGGGTTGCTCAGTACTCCAGACAAACAACACACCTCAAAATACACAAGAGAGATCAGCCCCTGGAAATCCTTCAGGGACAACTGATTCTTGCAATCTTAAGGCTGCCCAGTACTCCAGACTGACAGCGCGTGTCAGGGCCTCCAGACGAACGGTACCCAAGACTACACCTTGACGAACTTCCGAGAGGTCAGCCTCTGGAACTACCTCTCAGAGACAACTGAATCTCATAATACATACACTAAACAGGGACCGGAGTCCAGTAGACCCTCTGACCCAACAGTCATACACAACAACAGTAGTACTGACGATACAGTGATGACAACACGTATCCAGGCATTGTTTCGTACTCCAGACCAAACAGTAGACCTGGGATCGCACCTTGACATGTCCTCCTGACGTGAAAGGCGCTCTACAAATGTAATGTTGTTGTTATTGACATACACTGGAGAGATCTCAGAACTATCACACAGAATCACAGAGAGTGGCTCCTGGAACCTAACAGAAACAATCAGCTCTTAGCCCAGCACCTCACTCGTACTGTCTAACATAATTTCTGTGTTGCAAACAGACCAATCACTACTACTCTTATTACTTCTCTGCCTAGCAAACAGAACCAAAACCATATTACCCACTACTCCTCCTCTTTCACTTTTAATGGTTACTTTCTTACTGGAGGTAAATTCCCTCACCCTATATACATAGATACAGTAGAATTGATATTGATTCCACTGGGAAGTGTGCTGACCCTCTACACAACTCCAACTATTTCAAAATTACATCTTTCTTTTATGTGTTTCTAACTCCACCTCCTCTTGCCACAAAGATAGCCCTCACCCTTCGCAGGCTGCTAGCAATCTTTGAGCAGGCTCTTTTCACATGAGAAAATATCTGACAAGGAGAAAGATATGGGCAACTTCTGGGTAGCCTCCCACAGCCTGCTTGTTTCTCAGCCTTGAGATAGGCAGGTGTCTGAGGCTGCAGCCTTTTCTTTCTGTGGTCCATTGTTCTTACATCTATGTTTAAGGACCCAATTGCTCATTTTTCAGAGGAGTGAACACCTTCTCAGGAAACTTTGAAATGTAATCAGAAGCTGACCTCGACCCGTCCAAAGCTACTTTTAACCATTTAACTATCAAACCTTCCGGAACATTTGGTTGCTGTTTGAAATATACCAATGTATCCCGAGGCGATAGTCAATATATATTTCAACACTTGATTTTGACATTCAGTTGGCACTACCATGCCTGCGTAGTCTCATTATTTGTTAGTGTAACCACAAATCAGGTTGGTTTGGAAAATTGCTTTAACCCAGAGCATTGTTGCTCTGATAGAGCCCAATATGTTCCACGCTGCAGCTACGAAAAACAAATGAAACTGAAACATATCGGTGGTTGCACAAGTTCATCGTTGGGTTATATGACTTCATACATTAGGATTTATGCTGCTTGTAAATCCAACTCAATATTAGGAGTCTTAAAATTCGTTGCTGTGGTCACTGGCACTTTTACTGGAAAGTTTTAGCGCCTTGGGAAGTTCTTCCAGTGTAAAAGGCGCTATGTAAATGAAACTTGTTCTGTTTTGTTAGCAGAATAATAGTCTACAGGTCAAGGAGCTAAAAAAGCATAATTATTATATTATTATAAGCCTTCTGGTTAAACACTTTTAGGAGTGGTCTAAGATTATATAGAATTAATAATGTTTTAATAGACTACAACAACAAAAACTTGATTTATATATTTATATATGTGTTTTGCCCACAAAATTTATAGTCAATTCACTTTACAGTATATTTTGTGAAGCGCTTTGAAATGTCTCAATGATGTGATGAGGCACTATAATAATAATCCTTGCATTTGATTTAGTGCTTTTCACGTCTTCTAGACGTCTCAAAGCGCTTCACAGAATAGACTGTAAAGTGAATTGACTGTATATTTGTGGGAGAAATGCGGCAGCCAATTGCGCACAGCATTATCCCACAAACAGTTGTGGATTGAAATGACCAATTTATTATTGTTTTTTTTGAGGGATTATTATCAGGTGTGTGGAGTAAGGAAACCTGCCCAAGTTTCACGCTGCTGGAGATCGAACCCAGGTCTCTCGCTTGCAAAGGAGTCCTGCAGCTCAGTGGTTAGAGCACTCTACTCTTCATTTTACAGTCTATTCTGTGAAGCGCTTTGAGACGTCAAGAAAACGCGAAGAGCGCTATATCAAATGCAAGGATTATTATTATTATTATTATAATAGCGCCTTATCACATCTTTGAGACGTCTCAAAGCGCTTCACAAAATATACTGTAAAGTGAATTGACTATAAATTTATACAGGGCTAAATCAAATGCAAGGATTATTATTATTATTATTATATCGCGTCGTTCACGCAGGACGGTGTCTCGGAGCGCCACACGAGGTTAAACGCTGCTTCCAGCAGCGCTGGCGAAGGTTACGTGGAGTTAATTTCGAAGCCAGTTTCTTTTTTTGCCAGGAGCCAAGTGGAGCTGCAATTGAAGCATCATTCCCCCCCCAGTGCACAGTGACTGCAGTGAGCGGCAGTGGGGGAGGCGTCACTGCGCAGCCTCCTCGCGGGGCATGCTGGGGAGTCCAAGATGGCGGCGCCCAGTGGAGGCTGCGCCTGATCGAGCGGCGGCTCCGGGGCTGGAATACAGTTATCAGCGGCGGCGGCGGCGGCCCCGGGCACAGCGAGAGGCCCTCACCGCAGCGTTACATTCCCGGGGGGTTCAACAGGTTGGTGGGTTTGTGGAGGTTCCTCTCCCGGGTCCTGACCACCAATCCCCCCCCGTGACGTTGGCTATTCATTCCCGGGCGGGGGCCTGGGCCTGGGGGGCCGGGGGGGCGGGCCTGGGGGGCCGGGGGGGCTGGGCCGGGGGGCCGGGGGGGCTGGGCCCGGGGGCCGGGGGGGCTGGGCCCGGGGGGCCGGGGGGAGCGGGGGGGCTGGGCCCGGGGGGCCGGGCGGGCCTGGGGGCCGGGGGGCCTGGGCCGGGGGGCCGGGCGGGCCTGGGGGGCCCGGGGGGCTGGGCCGGGGGCCGGGCGGGCCTGGGGCCGGGGGGGCTGGGCCGGGGGGGCGGGCGGGGGGGCTGGGCCCGGGGGGCCGGGGGGCCTGGGCCCGGGGGGGCGGGCCGGGGGGGCTGGGCCCGGGGGGGCTGGGCCGGGGGGGCTGGGCCTGGGAGGCCGGGGCGGGGGGGCTGGGCCGGGGGGGCTGGGCCGGGGGGGCTGGGGGGGTGCTGGGGCCCGGGGGGGCGGGGGGGCTTGGCCCGGGGGTGCTGGGCCCGGGGGGGCTGGGCCCGGGGGGCTTGGCCTGGGGCCCGGGGGGAGCGGGGGGGGTTGGCCCGGGGGTGCTGGGCCCGGGGGGTTGGGGACCATCATTCAAATACAAGCAGATCAAAACACCAAAAGGGCCCTTCACTTTGCGGTGGTTTACGATGCACTTAATTCCCGGTCACTTTACCTCTGTAACACACAGCCCCCCCCGCGCTGCCCGCCTCACGGTACGTTTTGTGAAGCGCTTTCGAGCATTCGGCGACTTTTAACGACAACAACTTGCGCGTATCTCGGACCTTTCACACAGGGCTACCGTCCCGGAGAGCTTCGCGGTGACGGAGTCTGACCCCGAGCCAGGGGGAGAGGGACGGGGGAGGTGGCTGTAAGGGCCATCGAAAAGGAAGGTCTTTAGGTGGGATTTGGAAGTAGAGAGGGAGGGGGCGAGGCCGAGGGATTGAGGGAGAGAGCTCCAGAATTTCGGGGCGTAGTGGCTGCGGGCGCGGCCACCGATCGTGAAACAGAGGGGACAAGGGACAAACAGGAGGCTGGAGTCAGCCGAGCGGAGGCAATAATCCCTGCATTTGATATTGCACCTTATCACACGGAGAGGACGTCTCAAAGTGCTTCACAGGATTTTACTGTAAAGCGAAGGGATTGTGTATTATTTGATAATCTTGCATTTTATTTAGTCTGCATTTTATGCATTTCAAGCGCTCTGAGATGCTGTCCGGTGTGAAGGGCGCTATATAAATGCAAGTTGTTGTTGTCCCTTATCCCTTAAAAGATCTACCCTCAATCCCTTCAACCTCAAACACTACCATCCCATTTCAAACCTAGCCTTCCTCGCTAAAGCCCTGGAACACGTTGTTGCAAATCAACTTCGCTCACACTTCTCGCTCCACTCCCTACTTGAACCCCTCGATATTTAGCAGATTGAGTGACTGATAATGATGTATTTTTTTCTGTTGTTTTTAGCCAAGAAAACACGGTGGAAATAAGTTCTGTGCGTCTACTGACACTTTCTGTTTGTAAGTATAGGAGTTGGTAATGGCTGCATTTTACTTTATGGCTTGGGATGACATGTAGACCTACAAGAGACAAGCTTGCACTATTGACAACAGCAATTGATGCCTGAAATTACAGTGCAACACGAATCCTATGTGTCCATTATTGGTATGGTTCAGTTGGCTGCACTCTCACCTTTTGTTAAAAAGATTGTGGGTTGAAATCCTCTGTTGGCTGACACTCCATTGCAATAGTTGGGGGAGTGCTGCCTTATCGGAGATGCTGTCTGTCTTATGGGCGAGAAATTAAACAAATACACTTTCTTCTGTGGCTGTTGGACAGAATCAGGAACAGAAACTCTTGCTAGTTTTCTCTTTCTTAACCCAAGGACACTGAGGTAAATTCTATCAATGCAAGTAGTGTTCAGTATAAAAATGGGCACAGACTAGTTGAGCTGAATGGTCTGTTTCCATGCCATATGACCATATAATTCTATATAAGTGCTTCCCTGTTTTTTGATGAATGGGTCTCATCTGTTAAGGTTCCTTTTCTGCATCTGTCCCTTAGAAACCGTTTTCTATCTTTTCCACACAGAAATAATGCTGATATCTGGAACCCATGTCGAACGTCTATGAAGAGAGGGTAACGATGATAGCAGCAGGGGAAATGCAGGAGTTTGTTCCTTTTGGCCGTGACCACTGCAGGCGCCACCCTAATGCCACAAATCTTCAGCTTCGGCAGCTGCAGCCAGCCTCAGAGCTGTGGTCTTCTGATGGAGATGCGGGGCTAGTGGGGTCGCTGAGGGAAGTCACGATCCACGAGAAACAAAAGGTGCAGTAACAACAACAAATTATATTTCTATAATGCCTTTCACATTGGGAGGATGTCGCAAGGCGCTGGACAAGGAGGGATTTGGATCTGAGCAGGGGATGGGGATCAGAAGGGGTGTAGGGCAGGGATTGGAATGGTAGGAGGGTGGCTGAAGGCACGGTCGAAGAGGAGAGTCTTGAGACAAGCCTTAAACGAGGCAAGGGAGGGAGCGAGGCGAAGGATGGAGTTCCAAAGGGTGGTAGAGAGGTTGAAAGATGCCATCCTTCAGGGTGTTAAACTGAGTTCCCGTCTCTGTTTTTTGACTTAAGAATGCTCCTGTTTCATAACAATATATAATAATAATCCTTGCATTTGATATAGCGGCTTATTACATCTTCGAAACGTCTCAAAAAATTTAATATAATTGAATTGACTATATTTTGTAGGCGAAAAGCAGGAGGTATTTGTACACATCAGTGTCCCACAAACAATCGTGGTTTGAGTGACCAATTTTTTTTAAAAAGGAATTATTACCCCCGGAAAAGCGATCCGCCAATCGACTAACAACCGGGTTTCTTCTTACAGCTCGTGAACAGTTTTCCATTCAAGAGTGACATCTTTCTGTGAGACGAGCCTGTTTCTGGTGATAACTAATGGAACTTGTCTTGTTTCAGGAGAGCTGGCAGCTGAGGAAAGGCTCTTGTGACGTAGGGGAAGAGCTGGACTATGATGAGGAGCTGTATGTGGCTGGTAACATGGTCATATGGAGCAGAGGAAGTAAAAGTCATGCCTGTTCAGTCTACAAGGCATTCACAGTGGACAGCCCTGTCCTGCAGGCAAGATGATGATTTACGATATTTGCTTTTAGATCAGCTACAAGATATAGATCTAATCATTGGGTGAGATTTGACTTGTGTGCAGTCTGTGTTTGAATGTATTAGTTCCAAATCAACGTATTAAAGCAAGTCTAATGTTGCCAGTTCTAGACTGGATCATTTCATTTTCAAAGTATAATTATTCAAATAGTTGAAAGAGCAGGTCTTCCAATTACATTCTAGTTTGTTAAGGGAATTTCCTGGTGTAACATGCATGGAACTCTCATCTGGAGTTGGATACTGTGAAGCATGATGAAGGGTTTCTGCATGTGTCAGACGCTCGGCTGACCAAAAATCAAACAAACAAAAAAAGGTCTATGGTGTACGGAAAGCATTGCTTTATGTTCCATTGCTGCTATTTTTATGGCATTGTTTTGCTGTTATATGTTGTATGCTGAGGATGACTGTTGAGTTGCAGCACCTGTTTATATGAAAGTGATTAAGTAGCTCATCCACTGGAAATGTCAAGGTGTCTCTTCCGCCCTCCGCTCGATGTGTTTGTTTAAAGTAAGGAGGAGGAGGAGGACGAGAAGCAGAATTTTCAGTCAAACTAAGATTCACCTTTTGTTTCTGTTTCAGGCGTTATGGTGTGATTTCAGCAATCCGCAGGACAAGATGGAAGGTTCTGAAGGTAAGCCTGCACAACCTAAAGGTGATCAGTAACTAACAGATTTGTAGTAATTTATTTAACCCTTTCAATGTGCACCAATAGCTCACTGAAGCACTATTTGTTATCTGAGCCAGGGCCAAGAAAATGAGTGTTGACAAGGTATTCAATCTTGGGGGACCTCTAATATTACAAGGATCACCGAATAGCAAGCAGAATTGAGAATCCTAATTAACCTTTTTCTTCTCTTCCTCCTTTCGAAAGGCTAATTGTACCATTATGTAGTGCTTCCTCCTCAAGAATCGAGCATCAGATTGCATTTTCCTGTATAAATCTCACCTCATTTCATGATCCGCCTGCTTGACTGGGCTTCATTACCTCACTTCTTGTGCTAATCTCAAGGGAGCCTTGTGGAAGACTTTGACTAAACCTTGACGATCCCCTTACCCTTCCTCCCAAACAACATGTCTTGTTACAGCTCCAGTACAACTGATCTTTGCACAACAATTGCCCACATTCTCTTTTCATCATGTGTATTGAAGCATATTTTGAAAGGGATTAGATTTGTCTTTGATGCAAGTCCAGTCAATTACAGCTTGGTGCTTTCAATTAAGCTTTCTAATTTACTCTTATCTGTCAGTCTCACTGGGTATCACTGTGTCTGTAATGTATTAAATAAAGAATTGGATTCTTTACTTTTTAAAGAACTCAGTTTACATAAAGAATAAGGAATTATTTCCTGGTGGTTTCTTACAAACATTAAACAAAGAGTGAGGTTGTGTAGTAGTAATAATAATTCTTGCATTTAGTATTGCGCTTTATCATGTCATTGAAACGTCTCAAAATGCTCCACAGGATTTTTGCTGTGAAGTGTAATAGTTGTGCATTTGTAAGCAAATGTAGCAGCCAATTTCTGCACAGTGATTGATTGACGGGGACAGGTGACTGGGTAAGACTAGACCACGTTATTTATTCTTATTTTCAGGTTAGGTAAGGTTAAGAACAACAACAATAACTTGCATTTATATAGCGCCCTTCACGCGGGACAGCATCCTGGAACACTTGACAGTGGCGGAGTCTGACAAAGAGGCAGGGTTGACCTGTATACTCATTTTGTCACTGAGTCTCTGAATCTTCTTCAAGGTCTTTTGCGCTTACATGTCTCCTCTCTTTTTAACATTTCTGCAGCAGAACGAGGAAGCAGCTCCCAAACAGCAAACAACTTTCCGTCTCCTTTCATGGGGATTTCAGGACAAAGCAAGAAAATCGCATCTTCATCTCCTGTAAATCGGAAAGGGCCAGCAGAGGAAGTGGAGCTGGGTGAGTTGTTCAGGCAAGATCACGAGATTCCATCTTATCTAATGGGTTAAAGACATTTGACTGTGGCCTCGGCTCCAGCCTCTTTGAGGAATGCACATCAGAATTTTTTGAGGCAAGATATCACCCTGAAATTAAGTGGCTATTTTCTTGCCCTCTGTTCCTGGGTGGGCAGAACTGAGCTCTTTGAGTGGGTGTATGTGGATTTTTCAGGAACATCTAATTTGGATCAGAGTTTACAGGGAAAGAAAATATTTTAATTTCATCTAGTCTCTTATGTCAATGTCTGAAAAAAATACCCAGACACCTGAAAGTAACATAACTCTGTAAGGTTAGTCATTTTCTGCTGACTTTCTCAACGTCTCCTACAGGGTTGGGGGTTCATTCTTGGCTTGTCAGGGGGTGACCGAGCTACAGCACCTTGTGTGACTCCTAGCATTTGTGAACTGGCCAAAAGCTGGATCATGAATTGTTATGGATTTGTGATGAAGATGGAAACTATGTTGCAAATCTGTTTAGTTGTTTAAAGAGGGTGGAAAATAACATTGCTGTTGTATAAAGACTGCGAAATAATATTTCCCTGATATAAATGAAACAATTTACATTTATATGGGGCCTAAATAGAGGTGAGCTGAGAAGGGTGGGGAAAAGTCTTCGAAAGCATGATCAAAAAGATGGGACTTAGAGTGGATTTTGAAGGCAGAGAGGGAGTGGGCAAGATGGAAAGATGGGATGGAGTAGCAGATAGTAGGGTGGTGTGGTTGAGGAGTTTGCCTACGGGTGGTGGAGCAGGACCAGACTGAAACAGACTGGTGTTTCCTCCTGGAGTGGAGGGAGCGGTTGGGTAGTAGCATCATAGGAAGTGGCAGAGGTAGAGTGGAGTGCTGCCTGGAGGCGTTTGAAGGAGGAAAGACAATCTTGAATTTGATCTGTTGGGGATGGAGAGCCAATGGAGCCAAGCAAGATTGAGGATGATGGGCTTGCACAGGTTAGGGAAAGCAGAGCTAGTAGAAGCTTGTTTGTAACTGAGGTTTTCCGGCTCCATGAAGTGGAGTGAACATTCATGCAGATCAATTCAGTCAGTCCTGCAGATAGCCTCGGTCTTGTTGGCGTGGAAATTGAGAACTCATCCAGGACAATCCAGGCTCATCCAGGCCATCAGAGACTACAGCAGTGGTCTGAGAATTGAGGGTAAAGGCAAAGAGATAAGAGTTGGGTTCAATGTACATGTGGAAGTGGACAGTTGTCTACAAATAAAGTCACACATATGAAAAGGAGAGGACTGAGGATAGAGCATTGAGGAGGTATGCATGTAATGAAACCATAATAATAATAATAATAATAATCCTTGCATTTGATATAGCGCTTTTCACGTCGGGAGGACGTCCCAAAGTGCTTCACAGAACACACTGTAAAGTGAATTGACTGTATATTTGTGGGCAAACGCGGCAGCCAATTGCGCACAGCAATGTCCCACAAACAGTCGTAGATAGAAAATGACCAATTTATTATTGTTTTTGGTTTTGGAGGGATTATTATGGTTGCAGACGGAGAGAACAGTGCTGTTGACTTTGACCTGGGGTGTCTTGGTTCTGTAAGTGGGTGGATTGGAGGAACTCATGGAGGGAGCAGTGGGAGAGGAAGGAGCCAAGCTGGGAGATTGATGATTTGGAAAGAAAGGTCAAAGACTGGGAAAAAACATTGTCCTGTGTATAAAGACTGGAAAATAGGATTGCAGTTATATACAGTAAATACTGCATCACAATATGAATTGCTAAATCGATTTAACAGCTTAGGTGAATTTGTTAGAAAAGGTTGATTTTAATATAGTTTGTAAGAAGAGCAATAGAAGAATTAATAGTGAATATATGTATATCAATACCCATATATGCATGGTGGTAGGAAACGGGAGAAAGAAACTGTTTTACTAACATTTTCGGAATTGGCAGAATAAGCCATCCTGGTTCAGAAAGGCCAACGGTCAGTCAGTTGTGATAGTGAGAGAAGGATTAGAACAGGCTTCAAGAAGAGCCCAAGAAATCTGCATTCCATGAGGGCACCTAAGTAAAGCTGCTCAGTAGTCTGCGAACACGTGGCGGTCAGATTAAATGTTTCCACCAGACAGAGACAGGCTCCGGCCTTGGAAGGGAGAAGCAAGATGTCCTGTGTTGAAGAATAATGAGCAAGCTGCTTTGTCTCAAAGGGGTCTGCTTATCTAGAAGATATGGGTACAAGGATGTGCAATGGTCAAGTACGTTGGGTACGCGCTAAGATGCTTGATTGGAGAAGAAGGGGGGAAGATCCCTAGGTGGCAAAAGTATACCTACCCTGACTTTAGGCAAGTAAGGCAGCAGATCCAGCCAGATAAAGAGGGCAGTCGAACCATCCAAGAGAAGGTGTGCTGAAACCATTGCAACTGATTGACTGCTCCAAAACTGGTAGTATAAGTTCTGTTACTTGTAGTGTCAGTATTATTTTACTAGTTTTGTATGTGTTTATTAATAAATCTCTATTACACCTTAATTGGATTGTCGGGTCATTATTTGAACCTCGGGATCGGAAATCCCAACAAATTGAACAAATTCATAACAAATAACGCAACAAATGTATGTTTTCAAGTGCACGAGCTTCCCACTCCATTCCTGCTGTTTCTCAAATTAAGTGTAATTTAAATTATTTTTGTCATAAAAAATGTTTTGTAGGATTGCACTATGATTTGGATTGTCACTGTTGCTAACTGTTTAACTTCACTGGTTTTTAGTCATGAAATGTGACAAAGTTAATGTACTGTATTTATCTTTCAGCTCAAGAGAAACAAGAGAAGTGCGTATGTATAGTGCAGAAATCCTGTGTGAATGTGCACACTGTGGATGGCAAGGACTACATTGCTCCTTTACCCTTCCAGGTGATAGAATTTAGCAATGTTGGATTTTGGAAGTTCTATTTTTACAATTTTAAAATACAACAACTGAATGGAAATGTTTGTGATTTATAAGAAAATTAGCTCAATATATCCCATCAATTGTCAGAATATAAGAACATGTGTATATGTAATACAACTACCACCCCCCCCCCCCCCCACCCCCCCCCACCCCGCCTTAATATATGCTAAAGGATGAAGAATTCCCAGAATGGATTTAAGTGGTTCAGGGAGATCCTTCAAATATATCAGTGTTGATATCAATCTTAGGATTTGGAAAGTGCCTCATATTCCTGGTTTAGATTTAATGTTCTTTTAATCAATTAAATAATTGCAAGAAGAATCCTGCCAGTTACTTCTCCTGTTACTTACTTCTATTGGGCTTTTCCAGGTTAGGAATCTGGGTCTTCTTTTTATGATCGGAAATAGGCTGAGATGGTTAGTGTGAAATTCCAAGGGGATACCGCCTCTGTTTTTTTTTAATAAACAGCTGCCTTTAGTTGTTATTCTTAATGATTCTGAGTGATTTATTCTTGGGAAGGTTGAATCCTTAAACCATGAATTTAGTTTGTAATCTTTATTTTTTCTGCTCAAGTATCTGTGTTAGAAACTCCTCTTCAGCCTCCTGGCAGCAATGAGCAATTAATCCTACCTGCTATGTTTTTGCAAGAGAAAGTGACTGACCTTGTGTGAGTGTCCCTTCTGTTAATTGTTTTTTGATTTGGACTGGTTTTACTTTGTGTCTCAAACGATGAAGGCTCTTTGGTTCAGTTACACAGAAGCCTTTGACATTTGATACATTGATCAAATTTAACCCTGTTACACATCTTGAATTGAGCTGTTGAAAACCACTGATTTGAGTGGGAATTTTCCCATCGTGGCATTGATATCCCCAGTTCTGTTTTCTTATCTTTTGTGTAATAGTCGATGTTCTCTATTTACTATTTTATCATTTACTTCAATAAAGCCCCACAACCACTTTCTCCCCGTTTAGTAAGTATCCTTTTGTAAATGAGCCACTTTGATGACACATTGCTTTCTCCTTTCAGGTTGCAGGTGTGTGGGCAACCAGGTACGGATTAATCTTCGAGCGCAGCAATCCCGTACAGGAAGTACCTCTGAGTCCACCGAGGTAGGCAATTGAAACACATTCCCAAGGTTATATCCTTGGAACTGGTGCAAATATCCAACTTTTCCATGGTGCTAACCAGCTCAACCTTGAATTCAAGGATTTTAGGGTTATCTTGTAGGGTAGAATATTTTAGATAGGATTTTGAGCTCATGGTCTAGGCTTACGAGGTAGTGCAATACTGGGTGTTTTTTGAATGAGATGTTAAACTGCCTGCCTGTTCAGGTGAACAGTTTTAACCGTGACGCTACTCGTGTGAATGCTGCTATATAAATTCAAGATGTTGTTGTTGACATCAAAGATCATACTGCACTATTTGAAAAGAAAATAGTCTTTGTACACAAATACACAGTCACTGTACTTTGCAATTAGAAACCCTGTGAAGTATTTTGAGACATTTTGACATGATAAACTGCTATATCAAATGTAAGAATAATTATTATTTAGCTGTCAGAACTGGTGAGGCTAACCTGTGTATGATAACCAACCTCCAATGTCAGTTGAAGTTCTCTGTTCTTACTCCCCCCCACGCCTACAACCCACAAAGGCACTAATTTAGCTGGGTGTGGATTCAGAAGCTGAGGGCTTTCTAACGTATTCATATACAAACCTGGATAATGTGTGTTGGCAGGTTATTTGACAACAGCAAACCTGTTGTCTTTATACTATCTACTGATAGTCCACTCCTCGATTCCCTAATCCAATTATTTTAAAGGATATTTGTGTGGACTTGAAATGACGAAATCAAATGAAACATACAGTAGCTTTCAGCTGAACTTTAGCTATTTTGAATCAATTAAATGTTGCGTGGATCAGTTTCAAAAACAAACTAGATTGGTAATGGGCTACTCTTGAATGCTCTGATTGCTGCTGTGTAAATTGTTGCAGGGAACCTTTGCCTACCATGTTCAGCATGCTCCATCCACTGGATGAAATTGCACCCCTTGTCTGCAGGTCAGGAGGTAAGGTTGACTTTGGGCATCATCCTGCCTCTGTGTGATTGACTGTGTGTATTTGGAAACTGTCCGAGTTGTGATTACTTTATTTCTTGAATTAGTGATAAGATTAGTTAGTGATAAGGAAATCAGTTTGATATAGGAAATAAAAGTGGTATAGATTTCTTTTGAGGATAAGCTTCTGATGAGAGAATGGTGTCTAAAATACAGTGATTTCAAGGAAGAAGTTACCCAGGAGTATCTCACGTCAACTCCCGGGAATCCTCTCTGATTCCATCTGCTCTCTGATCTTCTGCTTAAATTGTATTTAAAGGTCACAAGAAAAATTTGACCTCCAAGCCTTTTGATTTCATCGGTTTTTTGATCTCTTATCCATTACAGCATCAAGCTGTTTGTTGTACTGAATCCAGCCACCCTTCCTTGGTAACCTACTTCAGTTGCTTCCTGGTGCCTATCCTACAATTGTGCTTCACAACCCTCATCCAACTCGGTTTGCATTAAGGGAGGTTGCAGAGGCTCACGGCCCTTGTTATCGCACTTTTGTGGTCTTGAGGAAAGTCTGAACGTTAGGTAGTAGTCTGGAATGTGACAAAAGTATGGGCTTGAGAGGTACATGGAAATCCAACTTTCTAAATAAGAAAATAAGTTGGATCATTACCAATAATCCTAGTATATTGAAAATGTATGCTTTTGGCAGCATAGTGATTCTATTTGTAACTTGTTTACTTTCAAGTTAGAAGTCAAGAATTCTTTCCTCTGCCATCCAGGTCTGAACAGTATGACAAGAATACAGTATGTTGCTGACCATACTCTGAAAATTGTTTTCTCCTGCTCAAAACCATCTATTATCATGACATATGACACCATACAGTGCCTTCACACAGTTTGGACATTACGCAAAATTAAAATGGAGGTATTTATTTTTCAGATGTTCGCGGTTACTTTTTTATTCTTCCTGCCCTTTGTATTGTTCTGATGCCTCAAATTGGAGGAAGAGAAATACAAGAGATATACTGTTGAACTTGTCAAAATAGCCAGATGTTTATATTTGGGAAGCACTCACAGGCCTGTATATTCAGTAATGCTGATCATTACAGAGGAGGGCAGTGTGGCCCCCACAGCTTATACGTGACAGAGTGGCTCATCCTTTGGTGTTAGCTGATCTGGTCCTGTGCCCAGGAACTGATAGACACTTTGACTTTGGTGTCCTTCAGGCTTGCTGCCAAGTTTTATATTGCGGTGGTGTTTGTGTGCAACGTGTTGGGAAGAATTCTTTATTGTATGTCTGGTTGTCATCAATCTTCCAATATTCAATTTGTTTGCTGAACCAAAACTTCTTTCAAACAATGAGGAAGACCACATGTACATTGGGCAATTTAAACTTCCCTCAACACGTTATCAATCATCTTGACACGCACTTGCTGCGTTTCCAGCCTGGCATAAATTGCATCTTTTTCAATAGGAACAAAATACACTTCTGAGGTATCCAGGAGCCTCGGGCACCCCTCAGAATGTGGCTACCAGCAGCTCTTTGACTGCCCACCTCAGAAGTGTCTCAAAGGGAGAGTCCCCGACTGCGTCTCCTTTCCAAAACTACTCCTCATTTCCCAGCCAGAGCAGGTCTACAATCTCACCCGGCGCACACTCCCGCTCTCATTCTCCTTCCATTTCAAACATGGCAGCTCTGAGGTTAGTAAACGCATTCTCGTTGAAACTTTTTTAAAAAAAACTAAAGAAAAACAATATCATCTATTTTTTTTAAAAAAAAGTTGTACAATCAAGTCACAGGAACAAACAAGTACCATTTAGGCATTTCTGGCAAACCTTTTAATTTAAGAAAAATTTGGAGAGGGATGTCTTTGCTTGATTATCCTTCGAGCAGGAGTTCAGGATGTGCCAGTAACAGGAGATAAGGCTAGCAGTGAAGGAAACCACACAGTGAGCTGGTGGGATATCAGTTAATGCTCCTGATTGCTGAACAGTCACTGTCAGGACTCACATAGGAATAATAGCCACTTACTTTGCTTAGGTACTGAAGAACCGTGAATGCTTGTGAACTGTACCTCAAGAGAGGAGAGGTAAAGGAAGAAAATCAGCAGGGGAAAAAGTGGCTGAATACTACTTGTTTAGAGAAATGTTTCAAGCCAAACTGAATATGGATTAACCAATCAATTCATTAAACAAAGAAAGGACTTGTATTTGAATAGCACCATAACTTGTTGAAGCACCTCAAAGCACTTCACAAATGATTACTGTCAAGGGCAATGGCATTTTGTAGCCAAATATGCCAAACTTTTGCACTAGCAGTTTCCTGCATTCAGCGCTTTAGAGCGTCCTCCCGACGTGAAAGGCGCTATTCAAATCTAATTTTGTTGTTGTTTTTGCATACATGTGTGCGGAGATTAAACCATCTTCAGGATTGTTGGCCAGGACACCAGGAGAAACTCCCTTCTCTTTTTAATGAGATCTTCAGTGTCCTTGCAGATTACATTTACAAAGGAGGTTGTAGTTTTAAGTTTGGATAATTGATGATAAATAAGGTTGGATTATTACTTTAAAAGTTGTTAAAGTTATCGCATCCAGAGAACAAAAAATGTTTCTTGCTTATTCCATTATTGCTTTAAATCAATACCTTAATGTTGCAGATAGAATTTTGTATTATTTCCTGTATTGTACTTCACACATGTTAATTCCTGGTTAATTTTGTTGCTCTGTGTTTTACAGCCGTTCCCATTCCCCGTCTCTGGGAGCTTCGGCTTTCTCTGGCGTGCAGAGGTTTAACTTGTCAGCATACATGCCCTCTCCAAAGCGTGACAGAACATCCAATTCCCCCAATAGTACTCTGAGTGACTCCTTGCTGATCCCTGAAACAGAGCCAGTTATTCCAGAGTTGTGCCTTGACCACTTGTGGACAGAAACTGTACTGAATATGAGGTGAGAATCATGTGCATTGGTGATGCAAAAGCATTATTTGTTTTAACATTATTCCAAGAATAAGGGGGTCAAGTTTGCAGTTGATGTGATACTCTTCTTGTCAGTCCCTCCCCCTCACCCCCTTCCGATCTTAAAACAGTAAGGACATGCTGGTTGTGAATGTCAGCTGGATGCCAGCTGTTTATTAAACAAAAAGTTGGTATCCTGGAAAGCTGTGAACCAGAAGTCCAATGTGTGGTCCCAGCTTCCCTGACATCAAGACAGATTGGTGTCGGGTGGGGCAGGGCCCGACTCCAGCACATTTGATGTGATGACAAATGGGTCACAAATTTGTCCTCAATCTCTTAGACGTTTTGGATTTGTGCATCTTTGTGAACCACTCAAGCTTTGTTCTTTCAGTTTTTTGATGATATTGAGGCCTCTTGGGAATCATTTCTTTAGCTCAGCCTTGCATTGATGCTGCCAGTGATCAGTGATCTCTATATGCTATGTAAAATAGTGTAACTGAGAGATTAACACAGTGTCAACTGCATCTTTCTTTTGTTCAGCTGGGTATCTAACACATGCAGAAACATATCAACAAGCTTAAGAATATCCAAACCAAACTGAGATTTCCATGCATCCCATCTACAGATTGAAACTCCATACCTAATTCCGGAAAGTATTAGGCGCAGGTCGGCAAGAGCCAAGGCTTGGGACCCCAGAATACATATTGGGGTACTACTGGAGTCTAACCAGCTAAATCCGCATAGCTTGCCATTGAGAGCATTGCCCGGCAAACTTTCCTATTGCTTGTCCTACTCATTAGTTCTTTGGCTTGCAAGGTTAAGAGGAGATGAGTGGGATGAGTTCTTGACCCAGTGACTGGTCTGCCCTTTCAAGTTCTGCTGATGAGCCAGCCTGGCTGTGCTGTCATCAACAGTGCCCTGGAACACAGTGGACACTCCTGGCTCAGGAACTGAACTACCAAGACTGCCACGTATAGAGGTGGGGGGTTGGAGGTGCGGAGCTTTAGCAACAGCTGCTTATGTCTCTGCAGGCCAATCCAGGTGGATTTCAAAAGTGTGTTCACAAACTCGGACTCTAGGTAACACCTTCCAGAAGATGTTGCCCCAAGCCTCAGAGTTTCCTTGTCAACTGTCTAGTATTTACCACACTGGAGGTCATCTGCTTTTACAATACAGCTTGTGATGCACTAGGCACCTTGATGTTCTCGAAATCCAAGGGTATGTGCTAAGCTTACTCAGTACCAGCTGCTCATTCCAGGTCAATCAGCTGCCAGTCAGTAAGCATACCAGGCTTACACCGCACCAGCTGCTCAATCCAGATCCTCATGTGAGGGATCTTGGGAAATAGATGTGTCTGCTGTGAAGCCAACTCCACCTCCAGGGAGTGCACCTGACATGTCAGTGCAGCCCTGAGCGCTCGCTCCCTGCAGTCGTTTCCCGTGTTCGCCACCTACAGCAGAGGGCTTCCTCCGGCCCATTTGTAAAGTCCAGAATCAAGCAGTGAGGTGGAAGTACATTGTCACGTGCTCCAATAACTTTAAATTATGTATTTCATGTTTACAGGGAAAAGAACTCCCAGGCTTCAAAAGTATTTATTACCAGCGATGTGTGTGGCCAGAAGTTCCTATGTTACTTGGTGGAGTCCCACCATCAGTTGCGGTATGTGAAGGAACCATTGGTCAAGGTTCCGTAGCTTTTAAAAGTAACTTATTTCCCAGACAATAATTGCCCAGATAAATTGGTCTTCATGACATATGTTGCTGTGTGCTTTACTGCTGCACTTCTCCTCTATTGCACAGACACTGATTTACAGTAATTACTTGTGAAAGTGCTTTGATAATACTGTACCAGGCAGACCGATGGGATTGGCTGTAAGCACAAAATGGCTGTATTCATGATTCATTTGCATGTTTCTGATGTACTTTGCACATCGCTGTAATACAAAGTATTTATACCCAAAACCTTTAAATCTGATTTCATTATTTCTTCAAACTGGTTCACATGGCTGTCATTTTGACATCTTTTCAGATGAGTGTCTTGATTATAATTTAATGTTAGGAGTTGTGCATACTGAATGTCCAGCACCTAAGAAGGCCTTTGTGATTGATTTCCATTTAAATCCTAAACAGATGTGTGAAATTTGAAGAAAGCAATGACTTGTCACAGCTAATTTTTGGGGCCGTCACTGTGTTACAGGCGAAGGATGCTGCTTCCGTGGAGGTGAGCTACATATATATCTATAAGCCTTGCTGCTTGCTAATCCAGGATGTTTTTTGGTCAGCCTGGTGTCAGACACATGCAGAAACCCATCCCCACGCTTAAGAATATCCAAACCAGAATGAGTTCCTCATTTGTATGTCACCTACACATGGAAAATTCCATGTGTCCAGAATGAAAACTTCAGCCCTTTCCATTTTGCTCTTTGAGGGTGGTTTTCTGCCATTTCTGCAGTTCCTCTGGTTTCCCATTGTTTCCAAGCAGCAGACCCAGACTCCTGCTGGTTTGTGGTGAGAGATGAAAAATAGACTCTGAGCACACATTCATATTGTGTATTCGGGTCAGAAGGTTTTTTTGTTTTTGGAGGAAAATGGAATGCATCCATGTATTTGGAATGGTGCAATTCAAGATAATTCCTGCATTAGAAATTGCTTTACAGAAGGTAAACTTCAATTGTGTGCATTTGTTTGCCTTTTTGTGCAGAGTGTGAACACAATGCTGGTGCTTGAGAGCGGTGGGAACCTGGTGCTGTACACGGGAGTTATACGGGTATGTTACCGCACTAAATCTATCCCTGAAGTTATCACACAGGTTGCTGTGCTGAATCCTGCTGTGAAATCTACACTGAAATATTTAAAACCACCGCCCCTGGTGGTGCTCAGACCAGCTTCACCCCTTGCCGTCTTCACTTTAAATTGTGTTTGTATGAACTGAATATATGTGATAGAGCTCCAAATTATGAAAATAATAATACTTGCATTTGACATAGTGCCTTATCGTGTCATTGAGACATCTCAAAGCGCTTTATAAACTATGTTGTAAAGTCGAGTGATGGTATTTTGTGGGCGAAACGCAGCAGCAATTGCGCACAGCAGTGTCCTGCAAAGTCTTATATAAATTGAAATATAAATCAAATGCCAGAATTATACAATTATGCTCTTTAAGAGTGGTTTTCTGTTCGTTTCTGCAATTCCTCTGGTCTCCCATTGTTTGCCATCAGCAGATCCAGACCCCTGCTGGTTTGTGTGAGAGATGAAAGATAGACTTTGAGGTCACATGCTCTGGCCAGGGCCATTTGTGATATGGACAAAATCTGTTTAAGTGTGGTACTTTAAAACCCCTTATGCATAGTGCCACATACTTAGAATTTCTTCTTGTTACTTCCTCAGAGAAATTCAAAGTTATGCTGAGGGGAGAGCGATTTCACCTTGTAGCCAAGTGCCTGTGGGGTCCAACATGGGACTATCTGCAAAAAGATTTATCAATGTAACATTGATACTTGGATATGTTTCATTCCCACCCGCTGAAGGACAGTAAAATGTGAAACTGTGATTCTGTTTGCTTTTAAAGATTGGCAAGGTGTTTATTGCTGGACTTCCAGCCCCATCCCTGTCTGTGTCCAACCCAATGCCACGACCCAGTACTCCGTTGGATAGCATTAGTACTCCAGCTCGGTCTTCAACCAGGCATCCTGGTACATTGGATGAGGTAAGATCTACATTGATTTGTTCACTTAACAGACCCCATGATAGAAAAATCCTGTATATTACACAAATTTACGTGAATGGTCTTTATCATAGTTTCAGCCTGTGAATTTCAATTCTGATCTCTGCTACCCTGTGAGAATAATATCATAATAATACTTGCATTTGATATAGCGCCTTATCACGTCTTCTAGACATCTCAAAGTTCTACACAGAATATACTGAATTAACTGTATATTTTGTGGGCAAAACGCGGCAGCCACTGGAGTTCTGCAGCCCACCTGGGGGAATTTAAACCGTTGACGGATTTTTGTTAATAGTGGCTGTTGATGGAGCACATTATTCATAGTACCCAATTTTGAAATACAGTTGTATTGGGAGAATGTGAATTTGCAATGAATTTAGTATTTAAAATCATATAATTTTCAGTGCAGAAGAAGGTTATTTGGCTCATCTTGCCTGTGCTGGCTCTCATTTAGAGCAATCTGTTTAGCCCTACACCCCTTTCTTTTCCACATTTACTTTAATTATTTTTGACGAAAATTAATTGCCTTTGTTTTGAGAAGTATTGAGTACCAAGTTCTTTAATGTAATTTTTAACATCTTTTAACTCTTAATGGTAGGCTGCATGGCTGTCTCCAGTCCCTGAACTGATCGATTGTACGAAGATTCATGACTCATTGTATATGGAAGACTGCACCTTTCAGCAGATTGGAACTTACATTCACTCTTTGCGTGATCCTGTTCAAAACAGAGTTACCCTGGTAAGTTGGTCACCGTGGCCACGTTTATGGAAATATTGGTTGTTCTAGAGTTTAAATGTTCAAGCTGGTTGTGGTTGATGTGTTTTTAGAATTCAATTTTATTGCTTATAAGCATAGACTTGATGGGATGCTGCTCCAGGTTGGATGTGAGCCTGTGATGGATATCTGTCTGGATATTAATTTGAGTCTGTAAAACTGCGCCTTGTTGGAATATGGAAACCTAAATGCCATCTTTAGAAAACAAACTTTCACTTTATTAATTTGTTTTCTCTCTATAGGAAATGAGTAACGGTGCTTTAATCAGGATTACCACACCTGAATTAGCAAATTCTCAATTGGGTAAGAATTTGCCAATCTTATTTTCTTTTAAGTAAATCTGTTGTCTTTACAGAGATTAGGTACATTTTGAAGATTTATTATAATGAAGTGAATTTGGTATTTTCTTGCTAAATTTTGAGAAGGACATTCTGTCAATTAATGTTTGTTGGTGTGTTTTTTCTTTTATTCTCCATAGTAAAAAAATGCTTACAAGCAATAAAATATATTCTCCCCAAAGAGGTTGCAGTGCAAGTTTTAATTAAGTGGTACAACACCTACAATGCACCCGGAGGCCCCAATTACCATTCAGAATGGAATTTGTTTGTGACCTGCCTGATGAACATGATGGGTTACAGCACAGACAGATTAACATGGACGCGCAATGTAAGTAAAACTCCAAAGCCAAAAGTGTGTAACACTCTTCCCCCCACCTTCCTTTAAAAGTTTGGACACATTTGGCCATTGCTTTGCAGCACTTTAGACTTTTTGAGAGGTACAGTATGTTTGGAAATTTAAATTCTGATACTTGAACTTGGTCGACATTCATTCTGCAACTGTAGGTAAAAAGGCAGTTGACTGACACAACATTTTTTTAAATGTTCTATATAATGGTGATTAATTAGTAGGTGGTGGCTTTTTNCCCCAAAACATGTATAACACTTATGTGTTTTTTTGTTCTGCACAATGTCTTGTTTGGTAGGAGACTTGTGAAGTGTTTGCAAATATACAATCATGCATTAAAACCTGTTTCAACTCTGAATCTGAACTGTCCACACAGCTTGACTTTGAAGGCTCCCTGTCTCCTGTGATTGCACCCAAGAAGGCCAGACCATCTGAAGGTGGCACAGATGAGGTAAGGAGATATTTCATTGCTACTATTTTCAAACCTGAAAAAGAACAATTCACTAGCTAAGATATACATCCACAAAGATTGATTCTTAAAAAAGCATCCAGACAGGATTTGTGTTTTGTTATTTGTTGTTTGTTTTTCCAGCTCACAATTATTTGGGATTACTTAAAAAATATTTTCACTCAGTTTCACACTAATTCTCTGGCTATTTGGTAATTATCTTCCCAAAGTTATCCTACTTTTTTCCATCCCTTTCTGTCTCTTTGTGTGAGAAGTGCCTCTTCTCCTTTCTGCAGCTCCTCTGACAATCTATTAAAATCAAACACTGATTTTTGTAAAATTGTAACTGTACACCATCATATTATCCTTATTCTTGTGTACAATATATATTCATATTTTCCCATATTCCTAATATCATCAAAATTTATTTACTTTTAGGACTGGGATTACATACTGACATCTGACTACCATCGTAACTTTGAGTCTCACCTTTTGGCTAGTGCTCTGCATTTAGACTCCATGGAGGTGTTGCATCCAAAGGAAGAGATTCTGCAGAACCTCACCCTGGACTCAACAATGATCCTCTTCAGCCACATTCCTGCCATTTTCTTTGTGCTGCACTTGATTTATGAGGAGCTGAAGTTGGATAGCTTGATGAGGGAGGGTGAACGATCCCTCGTCATTCTTCTACATCAGCTTGCTAGGTAAATACAAAGGCCTTTTCAAGCCACCTATTATGGTCAAATTGTGTTGCTTCTTTGCAAATGAAACATTTTGAGATCAATTAGCAATAAAACCATTTACTCCATCAGTTTCCTATTAGATGCTTCAGCATGTAGTACTCTGTGTTTTGCCCTGTTAATATGGAAGTAACGTAACTGTTATCTATTATCTGTTCTTCACATAATATGTATAGAATATCCCTCTGTAGCACTTTGAGGTGCTTCAATATGATGAGGATCTGTATCGAATTCAAGGATTATTATTTCTGTTTCCTTTTATGTAAGTTGTATTTTAATTTGTCAAGTATATGTTACATGAAGTGGTTGTTTTCCCAACCAGAGATTTGAAGCAGGACGCCTATATGGATTTCTATTGGCGAGACTATCCTTCTTTGGTGAAGAATTTAAAGCAAACGTGTAAAATTGATCAAGGTACATTGCTAATCTTTTGCTTGAAAATTGGTTGTTTTTTTTATTTTGTGCTTTTGAGACTGGAATAGTCTCTGTGCTGATGTTTCCGTTTCCATTGAGAAATCAACTGTGCTGAATGACAAATGGAACTTATTACACTGGCGCTAACGTGATGTGGCATATAAACAAAAGTGCACTCAACTAGGATTAGGTAATGATTGAAATACCGTTTCTTTGTGCACAGTGATAACTAACATGTTCCACAGTAGGAAGACGAGGTCAGAGAGGCCATATGACGCCTCTGTGCAAGTGGGATAGATGTGGGTGTTGATGTTTTTTTAGTGAAGGAAACTGAGAACCGAGCAGGATTGCAATTAGGTAAGAAGGTCAAATATTAAAGCAGTTGTGGAATAGATGAAAGGAAACATGTATTGTAAGAGAAATGGAATAAAAATAGGAAGGAACAGATGAACACTGGGTAATTATGAATTTTATAACGCAATACAAATTTACATTTATTTGGCATCTTTCACAAGGGAGGACACCACAAGGCGATAGACAATCAGATATGCTGAAAGCCTGCCACCAATGGTGGGACAGAGGTGTGGCTGCACACATGTGTCGTGTCCTACCAGTAGAGGGCCCAGGATCTGGCTGATTGTAATTTCCCTAACTCTGGGAAGACCATACAATCCAGGCTGAGACCAGCACATTTAAGCACATAAAAATCCTTGATTTTAATATTGTGCCTTTCATGTCGGAAGATGTCTCAATGCACTTCACAGGAATTTTGCTGTGAAGTCCAGTGATAGTGTAGTTTGTAGGCGAACATGGCAGCCAATTTGCATACGGCAATGTCCCACCAACAGCCAGGAGTGAGTGACCAATTTTACCCGGGGATTGGAAGAATTGGGATTTGAACCAGCGAGCTCCTGCTCTACTCACCGCACCATCAGGCTGTACTAACTATAAACATCTTAATGAAACTATTTTGACGCATATTCATCTTGAACAATAAATGTGAACATACATTTTGGAAAACGGAATGTAACTGTGTAAATACAATTCTTGGAATCCGCTGTTGTGGCTGCAAGATGGTGCATGTTTCAGACAATTTGAATGTTAGAGAACTTTGTTACAGATTTCTGAAAATTTTAAGATCTGTTTTTTTTCAATCCAGCTCACACAAGACTCATGCACCAGCCATCCTTCCTTACCATTGATCCTCCAAGCATATATCACTGGCTGAGTTCATGCCTAAATGGGGATGTCATATCCCCTTTCCCCTACTTGCCTGGAATCTGTGAAAGAACAAAGTTAGTGGTGCTGGTAGGTGGTGCTTGAGCTTATTCATTCACATTGGAATTATTGTTCTGCTTGTCTTGTTGGGCAAGAGATTGTGTTGATTGTGGGTTAAACACAGGAATGTACAGGGCTGGGAAAGACCACTGCCATTCATCTTGCTGGTCCCAAACTAACGGAAAACTCTCAAACTATTTCAGTTGAAATTTAGTTCCTATTTATCAAGACTGTACGAGTTTGGAGTCTTTGAATGATTGTGGTGTTAAAAATGATTCAACCAATCTTGATGTTGGAACGTAATAATAATAATCCTTGCATTTGATATAGCGCCTTATCACGACTTTGAGACGTCTCAAAGCACTTCACAGAATATACTGTAAAGTGAATTGACTGTATATTTTATGGGTGAAATACAGCAGCCAATTGCAGTGTCCCACAAACAGTCGTGGATTGAGTGACTAATTTATTATTTTTATTTTTTTGAAGGAATTATTACCAGTAGAAAAACTATCTGCCAACCGACTAACAACCGGGTTCTTATTTACTGCTAAGTAAAGAGAGGTGTGTGGAGTAAGGAAACTTGCCCAACATTTCGTCCTGCCTAGAATCGAACCCAGGTCTCTCGCTTGCAAGGCAAGTGCTCTAACTGAGCTACAGGACTCCTGTAATAACTATTCTGAGGGACAGGAAAAGTCCAAAGGCCCAAAACGATTCACACCTCATCCCTTCTTGCTCCAGAAATGCATTCAGTAGCTTGTTTAGGTTATATCTTCTGTTCAGTTGAATATCCTCCTTTGCTATCTTATTCCACAACACGATTGTTCTGTGTGTGTTTGTGTGTGTGTAATTTACCAATGTCTGTACATTTGGTGAATTGCAAGTTGATCAACACAACATTTTCCCTGCTGTCCTAGAGTCCCAAATGTTGTAAAGAAAAGTAGGTTGTGTAAATCCAAGGGTTGTGAATTATTAAGTGCTATGGTGCAGCTCTCTTGTGCATTGAAATTGAAAAGTGCAATGTTAGATATCCTAGGCAACTACAGCACATGTTGATGCCTATGAAACTTCAACAGTATTGTTCACGAGGTGATCTGCAGTCCAAAATATATTTCATAAGTTGTTACCAAGTTGTCATGCTATTATTATTGTGACTAAAATGGAGTGATAAGTGGGTGAGTGCAGCCAGTGGAAAATCGCACAGTTGATGACCTTTGTTAGCAGCTTTTGCGATCCTACGCTCTTTTACCAGGACATGTGTGCGCCCCAACCCTCAGAAACTTTGCCGATAAACCTCTTTTGCACTGGCTAATTCTATCCCACGCAGATTTGTTTTGGCCAACAAACTCCATTGGCACAGTGAAGGGACCATTTTCAACATCTCTGATTACACATTGATTGAATGCTCAGACACACCTGGCTACATGCAAATATGGCAGATAATGGGAAGTTTATCATCCTTCAGTCTCTATGAACTCTAGTTCTGAAATACTATAACTGGGGAAAGTTACAGAAAGGATTTTCCTTAAACTTTCCTTTTCCTTCAGTAAATGCCCCCAAATTCAAATAATTTGGCTATTCATCTCTATGTTGTTTGTTCGTTGTTGCTGGCACAGATTAGCTACTGGATTTGCCTGAATAAAGCAACTTCATTTCTAATCGATTATATTTTTGTAAAGCAATTAAAGTTGTTGATTTTTATATGAGTGGCACAATGGAAATGCAAGTTATTACTAATCTTGAAAAAATATATATCCTTGAGAATGTTAGCTTCTGTAAAATATCTCTTGTTGCATGTTGTCCTTCAGTGGCCAAGTAACCAAATTGCTCAGGGAAGTTATTGGCAAAAATGTATTTTTATTTTATTGCTACATGTTGCTACAGTGTATTCAGTTATGGCACTGGAAATTAATGCCGCATTCAGAAAACTGCTACATAACCTGCATACCATTGTTGAATAACACTAAAAGGGCCCAGAACTGCTGAAGTTTGCTCACATAGCAAACTCAAGAGGTATCCAACTGTGTTCCTACATCCATTAATTGCCGAACTTCAGTCTTGTAAGACTGCTTCATTGGAAGGACTTGGAGCGGCAGGGATTCTTCCCACTCAGTTCCCGTTAAGCGCTCTGAGTTGCTACCCTGCGTGGAGGGAGCTATATAAGTGAAGTTGTTGTTGTTGTTGTTAACCCTGCAAGCCAAAGCCCTAACATGTAGAGTGGCCTGAGCTGGACAAGCAGTGACAAAACTTACCAGATAGTGCTCTCAATGACAAGCTATGCAATTCTCGCTGGTTAAACTTCAGCAGTACCCCAACACATACACAAGCTTTGGCTCTTGCCAGCCTGTACTAATACTCTCAGGGAATACTTAAGCAGGATGCATCCCTCCAGGAAGTGATGGCGCATTCTAATAAATATCTCGGGAAATTCTATATATAGGTGGGATGTATGCAACTCTGTTTGGTTTTAATATTCCTAAGCATGTTGATAGGGGTTGTGATGGGATTCTGCATGTGTCAGACACTTGGCTGACCCTGAAAAAGTCTTGTAGATCAATTGCCAACATAAGTGAAGACAAACTGTGTCTCCTATAGAGAACCCCATGAGCAGATTTCACTGCGTAAGAAACACTTTATGTCAAGGGATGCTTTTTCCTGTGTTTGTACCATATAGGTTATGGTTTTCTCAATCAAACATGATTTCAACCCCACTTACATTAAATCAAGGAATCCGAGAAGTTCAAGATTGTCCCAAGTTTATCTGAATTTTATCTTCTATCTTCTGTAGTCTTTGTCTGCTTGTGCAGTAACTCAGTGTAAATGAGCTTGCAAGGTTATTTATGATATCTTGTGTTACAATATCTTACAACTACAAATAGTGTTACTAATTTATTGCTGAATGTATAGTGTTATTTATGTTCTGTGATTCAATACTTAAGTAGCCCTAATTACACACTTTTTTCAGTTTGTCAATTATTCATATTAAGCAGAATGTTCAGCAGTTTCATTCTTCAAGTTGTGGTTTAAAAAACAGGATGTTGATGCTTCTTCTGTGTCCCCTTCTTTTCCAGTAAATCTCTCGATCTGAAGTACCTTTAAAGTAATAACCGGTATTAGATTTATGTGGTGTTGTGGGTGGGAACGTGAATTCACTGTATCATACTATCTCTAACCAGCTGATCTATACTTAGGGTTGGTGGAAATCGACAGAATTCGGTAAACATTGATACTCGTCAGTTTTTTTTTGCAAAGTTCTGCAATCCAACAAAAATATTTTTTCATCAATTAAAGTCCACATTTATCAATTTTTAACAATCATTAGACTATACCAAAGGTCGTTTCGCCCACAAAATATATGGTCAATCCACTTAATAGTATATTCTGTGAAGTGCTTTGCAATGTCTCAACGACGTGATAATGACCCAACCTCCTGCTTGGGTCCAAATCCCTGACTGTCCAGCGGGTTGGGACTTCTTCCCGACGTGAAAGGACTATACAAATGTAATTTGTTGTTGATAAGGTGCTATATCAAATGCAAGGATTATTATTGTTATTATTTCTGGATGTTTGGATCGCCACCAATGTTGCTTCCTGTCCATTGTGTTGGCGTCTCTTGCACATGGTGCATACACACAGTGACCAGGAGGTGACCTAATAATCAGAAATCAGGCGTTTTTGTCGTTTAAAAGTTTTTTTAAGTTAAAAATAAACATTAATTGTACCCATTGAAAAAAAATTGATTTGCACCAACCCCAAAAACCTCTCTTGATGGGCAGCTGCTTGTCCTGCTATTAAATATATTACCATATAATATGAATCTTTTGTGTTGCAGAGCTTTGTATTATACATACTCGGCGATGAAAAAGCTCTTTCCAATGAACCATCCATGTATTTAGTCAGAATATCAGCAGGTAAACTTTTCAGAAATTAATTTAATTTTTGAGTGGCATTAATATAGTTCAACCAGCAAATAGAATTATATGTCAAAGGTTACCAATTTTTGCCAGCAAAAATAGTTTCATTTGTTTGTACAGTTATCAGTCTGTTGAAACTACTGAACTCTTCATGCCATACTGTTGCTGATGATCAGTGATACATTTTACCTTGAGTTGTTCTCTTATCAGAACCGATAAACGACAGCGATTTGCTGCCTCCAATAAATGTAAAGCAAATAGATTTTATATTTTGTATCTCGTTTTGAAAAATCCCAAGGTCACTAAATATTGTTCTTGCTTCATTCACTCTCATTTGGGAAAAAAAAAGTCTCTTTAACAAATTACTGCTTTAGAAACATAGTAATGTACAGCACAAAAGGAGGCCATTCGGTCATCGAGTCCGTGCTGGCTCACAGAGCAAGGAGATCAATTCAATCCCACCGTCCCAACTTATCCCCATACCTCTTCAAACTCCTCTCTTTCATATGCCTGTCTATCTCCCTCTTGAGAGGCACAATTGACTGTGCCTCCACCACCCGTCGACATTGTGTTAGAGGCCATTTCCTTACAGGCTCTGAAAGCTCCCCAAAAATTCATCCCAAACTTGTATTTCTGGTTTGTTCATAGTATTATTGTGTTGAAAATAGTTAAATCATATTTTTGGGCTTGTGCCTGATCAGGTTAAGTACTAAAACTGGTGTGTGGACAGACAGTGTAACACAGGACCAGGGCAGTCTTTCAAATTGAGATGAAAGTGATTGTTTTTTATGTTTGTTTTCACGGTATACTGGAAACTCATTTTGTAAATAATTAACAGGGCAAAGAAAACAGCAAGCAGGTGACGCCAACAAAAGGTGAGGGGCATTGAAATATTTCATGATTGGAAAATTATCACTTCTTTCAAAAAGCTATCTTTTATGTAATGTACATCTGTCTAATGCAGGATTCATTGCGTTTCCCTTTCATTAGGCTCAGTTTGAATCCGTACGCATCATCATCCAGTTTAGCTGAGAAACTGGTGGTTTCCCTGACAAATATAGGTGAGCTAAGAGAACAATTTTTCGACAGTTAGTTTGATTGTTACAAGTTAACTATTACAACTACTGTTTTTTATTCACAACTAAAAACCTGGGTATTTTTCAGTGGTAGTGGTGGTAGGGGAAAGTTGGGTGAAAATTGTTTTTTTACCAATGAACTTTCACTGAAAAAATATTTACTTTTTGGAGCAGCTTATGTGTGCTTATTACAATGAACTCCCATCATAGTCACTTAACAGTGAGAGAAATTTCACTCCTTTAATTACATTCCATCCTTCTTCATTCACTTTAAGATATAATTATTCCTCCTGTCTCTTCTTTGGAGGAGAGACGAGTAGTTTACAAATTAGCTAATTGGTTCTTCTGTGCTGATCTACCTGTTGGAAAAAGTTAGCTGAGCAGTGATGGGGATGGAATGCACGTGATTAATTCCAGCATTCATTTTAAAATTCAGTCTTTAGCACGTGTCTTACAGGGCTCATATTAGCCCTGGGAAAATAACTCCAAAGTCTTGGTAAGCTTTTGAGAGAGATATCAAGCTTAAGAGACACGTACCTACATGTGTCCAAGCAGTCATTCAGGAAATTCAATGTGTTCGTGAATAAGCATGTTCTCTGTAAATGTTATCTGTATTTTTCTGTTTGGTTTTAGAGTTTACCTTGAAGGATTTGGAGTCGCTCCCCTTTGGGGTTGCGATTCCTATACGGGATGCTATTTACCATTGTCGTGAGCAGCCTTCTTCAGATTGGTCCCAAGATGCTTGCTCGCTGATTGGACGTCAGGACCTTTCTAAACAGGCACATGAGGGAAACCTGCATAAGACAAAATCTGTACGTTCATGTCAAAGCTGCTTGTAATCTAAGTTGTGAGTGGATCTGAAGATGCAAGGACTGCCCCCATCCCATTAATTTTCTACCATGCACCAAGTAGTTTCTACCGAGGACTAGAAGCCATTGTCTAATGTTGGGTTGACCTGATGACTGGCATGTAATGAAGAGTGGGAACCTTTGGTGATTTCCCCATCCTTAGCCCAGGTCTTGTCTCTGCTTTTGTAGGTGATAGCTTGCAGGCCTATGCACTTCTCAACTGTTTAAATGTGAAATTCTGCTCAAACAAGTGCAGCCTTGCTCTAAGTGGTGAGCGAGGGTTAGAAGCTTATCATTTGCTTTGCCAAGCGTCTGGTTGCATAGATATAGATAGACGTTTGGAACCCTTTTCCCTCATCTCCCTCTTTGTGTAAGTGAGTAACTTAGTAAGGCTGTGGACATTTGTGCTCAGCAGAGAAATTGATTGAGAGTAAAACAGGATGTAGCATTAAAAAACAAGATGAGCAAACAAAAATACGCTCTGTTTGTCAGAACTTAATAATCCTGTGTTTTTTGCTCAGCCAATTACCCCTTCTGCCTCCTCTCTCGATGTGGACTTGTGTTGGATTACAGATCCACATGTGTTCACTGTCCTTCAGTACTTTGTCCAAATACTCATCCTTCATGTGTGAGCTTTGACAGTATGTGTTAATAGACTATTCAATTATTGAGGGGCTCATAGACATTCTGCTCCTGTACTCACCAAATGGCTATAATAATAATAATAATCCTTGCATTTGATATAGCGCTTTTCACGTCGGGAGGACGTCCCAAAGCGCTTCACAGAACACACTGTAAAGTGAATTGACTGTATATTTGTGGGCGAACGCGGCAGCCAATTGCGCACAGCAATGTCCCACAAACAGTCGTAGATTGAAAATGACCAATTTATTATTGTTTTTGGTTTTTGGAGGGATTATTATTAGGCTCTGTGTGGAGTAAGGAAACTTGCCCAAGGTTTCGCCCTCTGCCTGGAATTGAACTCAGGTCTCTCGCTTGCAAAGCGAGTGCTCTAACCACTGAGCTACAGGACTCCACGACTATGTGTATGTTGTAGCAATCGAGAGCAAGAACTCTCGCTGATTTTACCATTCTTAGTCCAGAGACACTGAGCGCAACTGTCCCCTGATTAATGCCCCCGGCTGCGATCAGCCAACTTAGCACAGACCAAGGATTGACCCAAGTATCTTCAGATCTTTACTTCTGTACTTTCTTCCATGCAATTCCTTTACCAAGTAGAGCTGAGTCTGCTCTTTTATAACATGTCCAGAAGCCCCTGTGAATAGCACACTGTAATAACAGTTTACATATATATGTATAGCTCCTTTTCACATTGAGAGGATGCCTCAAAGCACTTTGCACAGCTGACTGGGCATCCAAACTGGGGGGAAGGGAGAGCTGCTATGTATGCAGTTATTAATGCAGTGTATATTGTAGGCTATTGGACACTTACTGACCTCCGATGGAACCTCTGGAAGTGAAGCTGAGGAGGAGGAAGATGGAATGAATGAGATGAATCCAGAGTTGATGTCTCTGATCTGGAATGAGGATCTGCGTGTTCAGGAGGTGCGTCGGCTGCTCCAGAGCGCGCATCCTGTCCGTGTGAATGTTGTGCAGATGCCCGAGGTGAATGATCACGAGTACATCGAGGAGAAAGAAAACAGGTAAAACAATGTTGCGGGTGTGGGCGAGTTGAGAAGCATATCGAAGCCCCAGAATAGTACAGCAGGGGTTTATGTTTGTGATCCACTATTAATTGTCTGAGACAGGTGGCAGTTGAAGCCAGGCACTCCTCTATGGGGGTAGAGAAGCAAACACAATTGTGGAGAAGTCCACTCCAGCATTTCTAAATCAATTGTTTCAGAGCACAAAATAAGTTCTGTTCACAAAATGTGCAGTCAATCCACTTTGCAGTATATCCCGTGAAGCCTTTTGAGACATCTCAATGACGTGATAAGGTTCCTATATCAAATTCAGCGGTTATTATTATAATCTACAGAGTTGGTCAATGTTGTGTTAGAATTTGCAATCTTTATGTATAAGAATGGAAGCAAGTGATGGTGTGCCTTATCATTAAGATAACACAATCATAATAATAATCCTGATACAGTGCACTCCATTTAATTGCATATCAGATATGATTGCATACTTCATTTAATTGCACAGCAATTTCTAGATTGCAGGAGTTGACCGTGTGACCACAAACCGTTTGATTTGCAATAATGGCAACTTCTAAGATGAAGTATACTACGCTTACTTTAGCTCACTACTTTACTAGTCCTGGTCATAAATATATACTGTTGATATAAACTTGTTATGCTTGACATAGTCCTCAAATAACAAATCTGTACTGCTCATTTGTTTTAAATATAGTTATGAATTTATGTCAATAGAACTTCAGGTAATTCTCCGAATAATTGCACGGTGTCTGTCTGGTCCCAACTTCATGAAATTAGACGGAGTGCACTGTATTTGGTATAACACCTTTCATATTGGAAGGACATCTCAAAGTGCTTTACCGGAAACGTTACTGCAAACATAGCAGCCAATTTACGCACAGCAATGTCCCACAAACAGGCATGAAGTGAATGATCATTTTTTAATTTGGGGATTGTTAGCCAAGACACTGGGAGAAACTCTTGTCTTTTCGAATAGTGCCATGTGTCTTTTAACATTTATCTGAGCAGGCAGACAAGTGTTTAATGTCTCATGTGAAGGACAATGAGTCACTGCATTGCATTGGCGTGTCAGACTTGACTATAAGTTTCTAGTCCTGTTGTAGGCCTTCTAAGTGCTACCAACTGAGCCAGGCTGATCAGGGATGAAGTATAGGATTGCTCACTGGCATGTTTGTTTGACTTCTCTGTATAATTTGTATGTGTAAAGTAGCAGCTTGAGCTGACTAGATCAGTTTCTCAACTTTATACTGTTATACATTTTACAGTGTAATTTAAACCATCCGTTAATCTGAGTAATTTCCTCCTGAAATAGGTTGCTGCAGTTGTGCCAGCGAACTTTGGCACTTCCTGTAGGAAGAGGGATGTTCACACTATTCTCTTATCATCCAGTGCCGACCGAACCACTGCCTATCCCAAAATTAAATCTGACTGGTATGAATTTTTCATTTGAATCTACTAAATGCTGCTTTAAAAATGATAGCTTTAGTGGCGATGTTCCATGGGATTCAAACATTTTGCAAGGTATGCGATATCTGCACTGAATACCATTGAACTTGAGAAAGTATGAAATTCTGGGGACTGAATGTAAGAATGGACTGTACTACTGAAAATGATGATGAAAATCTCATCTCTTTGTACGCTGTAAGTGCCCAGCATATCATGAGTTTGCGTTTGTACAATCTTTTTATGTTGTTGGGTGCAAGCCCACAGGACAAGTTTCCTGGAATTTAGCATTAGTTGGCACAAATGGACAATATTACTCAGATCAATAAGGATCAATCAAGTCATTAAAGATCAATAAGGATGGATGAACGTGAGGTACAGAAACATCACATGGTGTGTTGGGCATTGCTTCCCATACTTTTGGCAAAGGTTTATTTTGAAAATGTTTATTTTTATTCAACAAACCACAGCTTGAACAACAAAACAATAATAAGAAAAAGGTAAATAAGTGTCAGGCATGAGTTGAATAGCTTGCTGGTGTATCATAACAACAAGCAATGTTTTTTGTAAAAAAAAACTTATTTGCAGAAAGATGATACATTCCGTTCTTGTTTAGAAAAGAGAAATCAATTATCAGTATCAAGCTCCTTTGAAATATTTTCAAACTTCATCTGAAATTCTATTTTATATTATTTTATTTCTCGGTGGGTTTTGGATCGACCCGAACTCAATTGTGACTAAAATATAAATGAAGAGGCACAAGCGTGTAAATACAAAAACCCGGAAGGAATTTTGTCAGGAAAGGGCCGTCCTGCCACTTTTAAATTAAATCTCACTGGAAGGGGAGATGTCAATAATGAGGTCCCGCCTGAAGAAAAATACTAAATAGCAACTGGCCTTTCACTGGGGTACAGCTGAAGGAGTGTTCCGCCCTCGGTCCAGAGCAAACCAATCTTCCTCCCAACAAGCTGCCTGCCCCCACTTATGAGGCAGAAACCAATGAATATATAATAATGAATATTCTACAGGACTAAAGAGACGGAAACAATAACAACAAATTATTCAAACAAATAAACTCTCTCACCCAAACCTTGCTGCTTGACTCCTGTAGGAGTCTTAACAGGCAACAAACCCCTTGCTTATGTGATGAGGAGAGATGAAAACATCCCCAAAGAGGTACTTCAAAACAATATTAAAATTGTTTTGTGCTTACCCTTAATATACACAATACTTACTAACTGGTGAACAGCAAAGAGGAACTATAAAATTACTGTCAATTTACAGTCAACTTTGTGTTATGTCTAACCTGGGATTGAATGTTACAGGAAAACTTTCTATTTCTGTAACTGATTGTCTTACTGTTTATGCAACGAATAAACAATAAACAATCCAGTAACAATTGGTATAACTTCATGTGGTTGCAAGTTTATTAAAAGTCAAAGGAAATTCCTGATTTCCCAAAAGGTCCATCTGTTTGTTCCAACTTCCTTCATTAGAACATGATTGAATTCCAGATGTGTGCAAGGAAAAAAGATGTTTGAAATTCAAGCCCAGAATGTACGTATCACATTGTGCTTATGAATTGTTTATGAATTGTGCAAATCTAGTTGGGAATAATGATTTAGGACATATTTATATTGTACGGCTACTTTAACAGCAGTTCTTCAATATACCAAGCTGCTGAATCCCTGAAGTTCATCCCACTTACATAATTTCACAGCACTGTGCCAATGAAGAAGTGGCTATGCACGTGCAGTTATGTGAGGATTGCGAATTGTGACTTTCATTGTTTGCTCTTTTGGAACTTCCCTGATATTTGGGCTCGATGGGTGGAGTGAGAAATCAGCTAGTCTGAGACTGGAAAATAAGAACAAACGTGTACTCCTGAAAGCAGTGTTTACAACAACGAAAACCTTGCATTTATATAGCACGTAGGATAGCAACGGATGGGGTTGGATGCTGAACAGAAGGAAGGGGATGGAAGTCATAGGTGGGTTCAGAGTGGTAGGATTTGAGGCAGGACTGAAAGCCAGCAAGAGAGGGAGACAGACATAATGGTAGAGGAAAGTGATTTCCAGAGATTAGGGTCTTAGTTAGCTGAGACAGAAGCAATAATAGTTAGCTGAGTTGAGGGGCAAGTGGAGGAGTAGTGTAGAAGAATGGGGAGGTGGGGAGATGCCAGGGAGTGGATAGATTTGTGAGGGTGAGGACCTTGAAATTGATCTACTGGGAGACGGGGAGCCAATAGAGACTGGTGAGGCCTGGGGTGATGGGCAGGAGTTTACATTACGGCGTGCCTCTTGAAGGTTGCAAATTGTGACTTTCATTTTATGAATTTTGGACCTTCCTCTACCAATTCTATCTTCCCCTTCACCTTCCCCTATGTCACATCCCCTCCAGAAGAGAGAGTACTGTGACATTTTCTTTACCACATTGGCACTGATGAAAGGGCTAGAAGGTAAATATGGCATTAAATGTCACACAAAATTGTGGTATTACAAATCAGAGTTTCATAATGGGTTTATTTTTGTGCCTCCAGGTTGTTTTTGTCGAAAATCTATGAATGTAGAATGATTTTCAGAGAAGCTGTCAATTCTCTGATGTTTCAGTTTGTATTCCTGACTCAGATCTCAGAATCCATTGAAATTGGTCATTTTGTTCATCACTTCAGAATTGTTGCTCGTACCTTGCTACATTTTTACATGTGAAGCTGTCAAATCTAGGTCAGGAATATTACAATTTCCCACCTGTTTGTTTTGAAAATTATTTAACAATCACAGAATTTACTTTTTGAAATACATAGTTTCAATTTTACATGTTTTTGTTATATCGTCTTGTTGGTGTGGTAGCCAGGTGGTTAACCTATAAGTTAATTCCTGCCAACTTTGGATTTGCTACTGCATACGGCATTCCACTATATCCAAGAGTGTTAACCACGCCGCATAATGGGTGCTATATAAATGCAAGTCGTTGTCTTCTAAAGCATGTTTGCTCTAATAAGGTTTGCTTTGAGGAGCACCAAGCCACAGAAGCAAGTAGGAATTGGTACAGAGAAATTGGTAGAGGCCAGAACAGTGGACTCGTTTCACATTGGATCTGAAGAAGTCCAACTGTAAATGCCAGCAGTAACAACAATATGTGAAAGCTGTAGTAGTCAATATTGTTAGCTTTATAACACCATTACAGACATAGACATCCTGCCTATTTGATGTTTTGCATGCAGTTCCTTTATGCTCAGTTATTTTGATACTCGTGATACCAGTTTCACTTTTTGAACCCTTGAATTCTTCAATCTTATATATTTGCGCCGTCAGCTTTCTCAATGCTGCCTCTCTTGTGTCTCTGTTTCCCTCCATTTAGAGAAATGCTTTGCCTATGTTCAGGATTCTTCCCGACTGCTTGATTGGCATCGAGAATCACTGGCACAAATAAACAATGAAACAACAACAAGATTACATTTGTATAGCGCCTTTCATGTTGGGAAGACGTCCCAAGGCACTGGGAATACAGTAAACTCCTGACAAATCATCACCCAAAGGAAAAGGGCTCATTGACGAGTTATCCAGAGTGTTGAGTGAGACATATGTATAAATACATTAATAAATGCGGCTGGGATATTGACAACAATGATGACTTGCGTGACAAGTTAAGCCGAGGTTGAGTTATCAGGAGTTTACTGTACCTACCCATGGTAACAGAATTTTAATATATCAACACAGAGTACTTTTGGCAGTCCACAATTTGGAATGATGCTACTGCTTCTCACAATTTCTAGACTTTAGCAGAATAAATACTGTCTGCTCTGATAACAGTGTTCCTCCAATGATACTAAGTGAATTGAAGATATGTTCACACTGCCAGAATACAGTTTCATTTACCATTTAAACCTAGGTTTCCAATAGTGAAGATATTCTTGCTGTTGTTCACACAGTCACTTGGAATAAAATGTACAATGTTTTCAATGATTGTTCCAATGGTTATGTATTTTACTAAAATTATGGTTAACTATATGACAAATAGCATATGCTCACTTCACCCTAATTGTGTATTTTTGTTGTTTTTAATATTCAGGACGTGCTCCTCCTCGAAACACAACAGTTGACCTGAACAGCGGAAACATCGATGTGCCACCCAACATGGCCAGTTGGGCCAGCTTTCACAACGGTGTGGCTGCTGGTCTGAAGATAGCACCAGCTTCTCAAATAGACTCTGCCTGGATTGTGTACAATAGGCAAAAGAACACTGAGCTAACAAATGAGTATGCGGGCTTGCTGATGGCACTGGGGTTGAATGGACACCTGAGCAAGCTGACTACAATGAGCATCCACGACTACCTCAGCAAGGTATGCTACTTAACTTATCCCAAGTATGGAAGAGGGAAATGGTTCAGGATTGTGAAGTGCAATTTTAGGATAGACACTGCAAAGTTTTTCTTCACACAGATGGTAATTACCTAGAACAGGTTACCAGGGAGGCTGGTGGAGGCGAGGACAATTGACTCATTTAAGAAATAACTTTATGTGGTGATTGTAAGGTGGTGATCTGGAAAGATGAGAAAAATTTGATGCAGGCTTGTCTTCATTCAAACCTGTCTTACGATTTACTGTAATGATGTTATTGCAGATTTTGTTGATGTGTTAGAGCTTTTTATACAATGTATAAAAAAATTTACCTTTTTTTGAACCAAATGGTCGATTTGCTGAATTGCTGGTGACGATTACCTTGCTTGTTAAAGCATTTGCACCATGTAAACCCTGACTCCCTGCGCATAAATGTTGCTGTCTTTCAAGTGGTTTTCAGTGGAGGAATATCTGCATTGGTTTTACATCTTATTGAATCAACAATTGACCTGTGAGCAGAGAGTAAAGGAACTGGGCCAATTTTCATTGGAACAGAGAAGTTTGAGGGGACAACTGATAAAGATTTTTAGAATGATGAGGGCATTTGATTGTGAGAGTAGATGAGGAGAAATTATTCCTGCTGGTTCTGAGCCAGCGAGTCGAGGGGATCAATATGAAATAATAATAATTCTTGGATTTGATCTCGTGCTTTATCATGTCTTCGAGATGTCTCAAAGCGCTTCACAGAAGATAAAGTGAATTGACTGTATATTTGTGGGCGAAACACGACAGCCAATTGCGCACAGCAACATCTCACAAGCAGTAGTGGATTGAAGCTTAGACAACAACAACAAAATTACATTTATAGAGCGCCTTTCACGTCGGGAGGACATCCCAAAGCGACAAAATGTCTTTGCTTAGAGAGTTGTTGGGTTGTGGATTGCTCTGAGAAATAAGGTGGTAACCGCAAAGTCCATTGTAGCTTTGAAGAGGGTAGTAGGTCTATGAATGATAGAGGCTTGAAGGTATATGGGGATAAGGTAGGGCAGAAGGATTAAATGAACTCCTTACTTTGAGAGCTGGGCAGACTTGATGGGCCAAATGGCCTCCCACTGTGCTTTCAATTTCTATGGATTGAATGGATTGCTATTTCTAAGAGTCAGTTCAGACTCAGTGATCCTGTGACAGACACAGACAAAGGAGCCTGTGGAATATATTTCTATGGTTCTAGGTGAGGAACAAAATTGTCTGATTTTGAAATATTTGTGCAGTGCTGATTATTTCCAGCAAACCCCAGAGATCTCTGGAGGCAACTATGAGAGAACTGTGCCCTTGAGTGTGCAATATATATTCAGCAGTCAAAACTGCTTGGTTTTTTACAGTTCCTGAAAGGGTTGAGTGAAATCACTGTATGTGCAAAAACAAAGGAACCTTTGGCTGCTGGATCTCCTCTGTAGCTGAGAAGAGAGTGACCTTTGTCATTCCTTTATATCTACCAGAATGACCAACTGACATCTTGTTGTCATGCTTATTTTAAATGGAAGGCATAATCAATCGAAAATATCTTCAGTGATCTTAATTCAAAGTTCCTCTTCACTTCTGTTAATATTGCGATTGATTTTGCAGTACTTCTTAATGGATTTCTTAACCAAGTCTCTGGTGCAGACGTGGAAATCCTGCATTTTAATTTCAGAGTTGGGTTTCCTCGAGTTGAATTGAGAGGAGTCCATTCCCCATTGAATTTCTTCATTATATATATATATGAATACATATTATATCATTCTATGTTATTTATTAATTAAGAACTCACTTAAGGAATACTGAAAAATGTATCCTGAATTCATGCATTGACCAGGTGCATTGATTGATTGTATTATGGGATTCAAAAGGGAACAAAAATAACATGTACTCTGCTTTGATATCTTGTTCTTACTATACTGAAAGCAAAGAAGCACAACAAAATTACATTTGTAAAGTGCCTTTCACTTCGGGAGGATGTCCCAAGGCGTTGAACAGTCGGGCATCAGGACATGAGCGTGGGGGGCAGGGTTGGGATAAGGGAGGGCAGAGAGGTAGGAGGGTGGCTGAAGGCATGGTCAAAAAGGAGGGTCTTGTGTTGTGCCTTGAAGGAGGCAAGAGAGGGAGCAAGGCGAAGGGATTGTGGGAAGGAGTTCCAAAGAGTGGGGGCAGAGAAGCTGAAAGCCTGGCTGCCGATGGTAGGACAGGTCGGGCGGGAGATCTCAAAGCAGCCACGTGCAAGTGTGGAGTATGGTTTCATTGTTATTGCGTGTTTTCCTTTGTAAAGAATCCTGAGTTCCAGCTAAAATGCTGCTTGATAGAAAACAGTAGTTGCATTATGAACCATTTCTTCAGCCCCACTTCAGTAACTCATACAGCTAATCTAGTGCTTTTTTCAAGTCATATCAGAAAATTTCAAACGTAAACATTTTTTGAAAAATAGATTTTGTAAAAAAATATCAACGGTAGGTTAAACTTGAAACATGAAGTTAAACATGAAATGATGTAATAGAATTGAGAACGTTGGTACAAATTGCACCCTTTTAATCATCTCAGGAATTCATAATCAGATTTTTAAACTTTTTTTAGCTGATTCGTTTTTGAGGGAATAACATGGTTGTGGGATGTTTTATGTAATGGATACCGAGAGGTGTTTTGCAAGGCAGCGATTCATCAAGTGGATTAAATGATATCAGACTACAAGAGTGAAGCTCAAGATGTTTAGTAATGCTTTCTCAACCCTGACATATTGTGCTACGGAGTGTGTTGTCACTTATCTCATCAATCCCATTTTTTTTTGCATTTATTTTCTGGTGTGTAGGGAGGAAGAAGTTTTTCATCAAACAATGATAAATTGTTTGCTCCATACTTTAATTTGCTTGACTTCAATAAAAAAAATTCCATTGTACCATATGATTTGAACAGCGGTGATATCAATATTTATTTACTTGTAAGTACAGTATTATAAAACAGCAAAGTATGATGTTAACTAGTGGAAATAAGTTTAGGTGATTTATTACTGTTTGTCCCCCCCATGCAATGTTGCCTTGAAATTTTTTCTTGTACTGCACACATAATCTATTTACAATAATAAGATATGGTTTAATATAGCGATCAGTAAGAAAGATGAGAAAAAGGATATTTATTTTGATTGGGGAGAGTGCAGGTAACGTATTTTGAAAGGCATTCTTGGACTCTGCTTCTCTCTGTACCAGTGAGGTCTACAACCATTGATTCCAAAAGGTTGATTGCAAAAATTACAGATGCTTCCCTTGATCTCTTGTAGGGGCATGAGATGACCAGCATAGGACTACTGCTGGGAATTTCCGCTGCAAAACTGGGCACCATGGATATATCGGTCACTCGTCTCCTGAGTATTCATATCCCTGCATTGTTACCGCCCACGTCAACTGAGCTGGATGTCCCCCACCATTTACAGGTTGCTGCTGTCATGGGAGTGGGACTGGTGTACCAAGGCACTGCCCACAGGCATATTGCTGAAGTGCTTCTGACTGAAATAGGTGAGGTGTCAGCAGTTCTCAACTGCAAAACCCCAAACAACTTTTGAAATTGTAGCAAAATACAGAACAAAGTTCTGTTTTGTGAAATGATTATCAAGCAAATGTAGTGTTTTCAAAAATAACAGTTTTCACAAGCATTCAAAAAAAAATCCCCTTAAAACGCATAATAGAAGAACCTTTGTAATCTTGGAAACCTAAATGCTGAGTTAACCACATTTTAAATAAGGTTACAAGTAAAAGCGTCTTGAACTGTTTTTGTTGACTGTTTTACTGAACAACATTTTCAGTATGAGAAGATTTGAAGCTCCTCAAAGTGCTGAGTGAGATCACTGCATGTGCACAGTAAAGTAACCTTCAACTGTAGACCTCCTCTGCAGCTAGCAAGACCTTATGTCCACCAGAACAACCAACCTACATTATGATGCCATGCTTATTTTAAATAGAGGCCACAATCAATGGAAATTCCTTGTGTATTTCTCGACTTAGGTCGTCCTCCAGGTCCTGAAATGGAAAACTGTACTGATCGGGAATCGTACTCGCTGGCTGCTGGTCTTGCTCTTGGCATGGTCTGTCTTGGGGTAAGATATCAGATGAACGCAAATGTGTATTCTTGATTTTGAAACTCGCTGCTTTGTACAAAAAGAAAGCATTTTGACCATTTAAAACCTGCATGTTCAACTTCTTTTAAAAAGTGTTTTTTGGGAAAAAAGAAACTGAAGAATATTCAGGCATTTTAAATCCCATAAGTAATTAATATTTTAGTGGTAATATCAATGAAATGACAGTGTTGGCAAAGACCATTGGGCCCATTGAGCTTCTGTTACCAACATCTCCTCGAGTGATCTCTTACCTCAATTTCTTTCTCTTCCCCTTTATCCTTTTAGTATTATTATTATCCTTTTTATATTTTCTCTTTCGATACTTATCTAGTTTCCTTTTACTTAATATGTTTAACTTGGTCAAATACAGAACAAGGTCATGGACTTGAGCTCAGAAGAGCAAAGATAAGCAGACAGTTCAAATTTAATTACTTAATGAATATGTGCAGTAGACTATCTACCTATACTCTTCCAATAGAGATGGTGACGTTTATATCTAAATTCAACAAGGATTAGATTCCCAGATATTTGACAGAGAAATTACTTGAAGTTTATGAAAGGATTATTTATAATTTTTAAAAATATTACATTGGGACAAGTCAGATGATCGTTGCTATGTTCTGCTGTTGCAAGAGCTACATTTTTATAGGTATTGGTAATGTTTAATGTTTACTGTGTTGGCACACAGATTTGTAAATAAATATGTAATATATATTTTATATATATGTATTATATAAAGCAGGGAAATGTTACCTTTCTCACCTGTGACATGCCAGATTCCTCTGGGAGTCACTATTTTAAACTCCATTTCCGAGCACTTTCCTTGTAACTTTTGAAATTTTCATTCTTCGAATATGTATCTAATTCCGCTTTTAAATTATGTAATTAACTAATCTTCGATAATAATGAATAGGGTAGGGATGTCAAACAACCAGCGCCTTGGGACGTCTTCCCAACGTGAAAGTCACTATATAAATGTAATTTATTGTTGTTGCTGTTTGATCTAAATCAAATATTTGTTTGTAACATGCCCTTTTAAACATTCCAGTATCGTCAAGAAATAAAATCTTCTCAAACGAACGATTCAGAGTAATTTTGTGTCTATTATATCTGTGTAGAGTTTATTCTCTTGTGGTTTGGGGTTATTTTGCAGCATGGAAGTAACCTGATAGGCATGTCTGACCTGAATGTCCCAGACCAGCTGTATCAGTACATGGTGGGAGGGCACCGGCGATCACAGCCAGGAGTTCACAGAGAAAAGCACAAATCCCCCAGCTACCAAATCAAGGTTTGTACAAAAACAAAGAAAATCTGAAATAAAAACTGATCCTCTGTGCTGGAAGGAGGCTCGACTCATGGTGAAGACAGAATTGCACTTGGCTTTGATCAGTCCCTCCATCCCCCTCCCACACCCACAAAATAGTGGGAAATAGCTTTTGTCCCTCTTTCCATTAAGTGTGCTTCAGGCTCCTTGTGGAATTCACAGAGGAGGAAAGTAAGATTAGGCAGGAAATCTCCAAACGAACAGATCGATTTCAAGATCCTTATACTTGCCTACAAATCACTTCATCCCAGAGCACCTCCCTATGTCTCGACTTGCTCACTCCTCCATAGGTCCCCTTCACTTGGCTGCTTTTTCTATGTATTCCATAACCCCTTTACTCCACCATTGACAGCCGTGTCTTCATCCACTGCGCCCTGAACCTCTGGAGCTCCCTGTCTCAATCTGCCTCTGCCTTGCCTCCTCTTTACACATCTTCAGGTCGCACCTGAAGCCTTTCCTCTTTGACCTCGCCTTCCTCCCTGGATTGGGGTCAAACTTAGTTCAGAGCTCAAGGATGGTATCTTGTTTAAAAGGTGCTGTTTAAAAGCATGGTGGTGTTGGGCCTCCTGGTATCTGGACAATGTGACCATTGGAAGTGCGTCATTTACCTCTCTCCCTTAGATTGAAAGAAGTCTGAGGTTGGGGAAGGGGGAAAGAGGGTGGAATCTGGTACAAAGAGGTTGTTTGTCTTTACAAAATAATCCCATCAAATAATAAATAAAATAATAATAAATTGGTGACTCAATCCACGACTGTTTGTGGGACACTGCTGTGCACAATTGGCTGCCACGTTTCACCCACAAAATGTACAGTCAATTCACTTTACAGTATATTCTGTGAAGCACTTTAGAACTCAAAGACGGGATAAGGCGCTATATCAAATGACAGGATTATTATTGTTATATAAAAGGATACAATGAAGTTATATTTGAAGGTTTACCGGGACTTTAAGGAGTTACTTGAAAAGTAGGAAATCAACTAAATCAGTTCAGATTATGCCATCGTTAATTCTTCTCGAAGCTTTAATGCAACTTTGTGTTTTTTACAGGAAGGGGACACTGTAAATGTGGATGTTACATGTCCTGGAGCCACACTGGCTTTAGCCTTGCTGTATCTCAAAACAAATAACAGGTACATTATTGTGTATTTTGTAAAATGCTCCAACCAAGAACAAGTCTTCATTCTCATTTCAGTTCAGATACACCGTGCTGGAGTCAACACCAATGCTGCCAAAATAGAAATACTTCAAATACTGTTCTCAGCCCAGTGCCATAAGCACAACGCAGAAATGTGCAGTGAGGTTTTATTAATTCCAGCAAAGGTTATCCATTAGAGATCGCATAACACTATTTGAAAAGAGAAGGGAAAGCTCTTCCTAGTGTTCTAGCCAGCAATCCTACATCTTAACTGATCAGTCGCATCATGGTTTACGACTTGCTGACACAAAATTGTCTACAGAAACACTCGATGCACTTGACAGCAATTATCCATGATGTACGTTGAGATTTTTTATAATGCGCCTCCCTCCAAGCTACGAAACCTCCACTGTTTTCAGTGACATTTACATTTCATGAAAAGACATGGTATGTACTGATACAGCTGGTCTGGGACATTCAGGTCAGACATACCTATCAGGTTACTTCCGATGGTCTCCATCCTTCTGCCCTGCACTCTGCAGCGTAGCAGCAAAAAGTCCTGGTACTCTCAACCATTTTTCTTTAGTCAGCCGGGTGTCTCGACATATATGGAAACCCATCACCAATCTTAAGGGTATCCAAACCAGAGAGTTCCACATATTACCACCGATGCATGGAAATCCCCTTGTCTGGAATGGAATGTGCACTCTCCCTGGAGGGATGCTCACTCTCATCGTATGCCAAGATAACGTGAGAATTGTTATTTTAGTAGCAATGAGAGTGACGGGTACAAAGAAGTAGTGAATTGTAGAAAAGCGAGAAATATCATTGCACACTTTCCAATAACATTTCCAGTTTGATATAATTTGATGATGGACATAGTGGAAAAAAATGCCATTTTAGAATGTGGATCCTGCTGATTAATTGCCAGGGGCTCATAACTTGACTTGCATCTTGTTTCCTCAGAGCAGCTTTTCTTATATAGTGATATGGCCTTTTAGTGCCCTCACAACAAATGCCCCTTAACAGATTGCTGTTGTGCCACAACAGAAAGAGGGTTGATGAACTGTCTTGAGTCTTCAGTAAGGTGATCGCATTTCTCCAGACAGCCAAATGCCCAAATAGTTTTACAAATTATTCACTTATCTTCTTTATATATTAATTGCCCTTTTTCACATGTTCTCATAAATGTTTGGGTTGTTGCTGTTTTTGAGCAGTTAGAATACTTGACAGTAGTATAACTAACCCATTTCTGTATTTAGATCCATTGCAGATTGGCTGCGGGCCCCAGACACTCAGTACCTGTTGGACTTTGTTAAGCCTGAGTTTCTTTTAATGCGGGTAGGTATTCAAAGTCAACTAACATGCGCAAATGCTGTCATGTTTGAATATAGAACATTGGGGTCTAATCTGCGGTATAAAATTAACTGCATTCCTCAATGGGGAGTTGTGCAAATGAGGAGTCCTCTTGTTAACCTGATCATGCTGACTCTCAGGTAATACACTCAAATGGCAAGTGTTTCTTGATGAGGTTTCTATGGGTCAATGGGAATATGAATGGGAAGATTATTTATTAATCTGTCAGGAACTGCCATGAATAGACTGTAATGTTTGTATATAGAATAGTCTGTAATGTCTCGTCCCTCACCAGCAACGCTTTCTTCCACCTCCGACATATCGCCCGTCTCCGCCAATACCTCACCCCAAAAGCTGCCGAAACCCTGGTCCATGCCTTTGTCACCTCTCGGCTGGACTATTCAAATGCCCTCCTCACCGGTCTCCCCTCCACCACCATTCATAAAATCCAGGTCATCCAAAACTCTGCTGCCCGCATTCTTACCCGCACCAAACTCCGCTCCACGATTACCCCAGTCCTTGCCAGACTGCACTGGCTGCCTGTCCCAGAGAGGATCGACTTCAGGATCCTCACTCTTGTCTTCGAATCCCTCCACTCCTCTGCACCCCCCCTACCTCTCTGACCTCCTCTCTCCTCACAACAGTGCCCATTGCCTTTGCTCCACCGGGTCTGGCCTCCTCTTTGTCCCCCGAATCCTCCGCTCCACCATTGGCAGCCGTGCCTTCAGCCACTACGCCCCGAGGCTCTGGAACTCCCTTCCTCACTCCCTTCACCTCGCCCCCCTCCCTTCCTATTTTCAGGTCTTGGCTGAAGACGTTTCTTTTCAACCGCGCCTTTGGTCACCTTCTTCCCCCTCCCCCTGGCTCGGCACGGGATCCGTTGCTGTGAAGCGCTCTGAGACGTCGTCCAGCGTGGAGGGCGCTATATAAATCCAAGTTGTTGTTGTTTGTATGTGCTGCCCTTCTGTTGTTGGACAGAAGTCAAAGGCAGTGCAGTGTACAACACTTGTATTTGGTTGAATCATACTCCCAACTCCACCATCCTGAATAAGTTGGCTTATGATACTTGCTTCTCATTTTTATAACTGCATTTAATGTCGATGGACAGGTTGTTCCCCAGACACCAGTTACACCAGTGCAAGGTATTGTGGCTTTGAGTAAATGTGCATTTACTTTGTTGGATTGTAACATTTTTGCATCATCTCTCAGGGCTGCATTGAAGGCTGACAGGGTTATTGCTCTCTCCAGGGTGATTTTAAGCCATAAAGATTAGGAAGATTGGTTCTTGGATTGGGTTCAGTCAGGAGATCTCACCTGGGCTAGTTTCCATTAATGCCTTTGGTCCAGGGATAAAAACATCAGTCAGGGTTCCACCAGATATGTACATAAAAAAAAACAGGACTTGATGCACAGATGCATAACGTACTGACTCAACATTTAGGTCAGTACTCTGTGTAGCAAAGCTCAAATGCAAATCAGCAACTGATAAGTACGGTTGGCTAAATTGGTATAGCCTGATTGTGGAAATTTCAGTGCTGTACTTGATCTTGGTTTGGGCCCTGTCCGTGTAAGAACTTAAATATATTTACTCATCCAGCTGATGATTTCAATGATCTAACCACTAATACCCCCAAATCTCTTCTAGATAATGTTGCTTAGTTTCGGTTCCCACTGTTAATTCTCTTTCACCATTTGCATTTGCATCTCAGCAACTGATTTTACCCGTAGAAGCTAAAGCCTTAACGGTTAGGGTAGATAGACAAACAGTGGTAAGGCTTGCCAGACAGTACTCACCAATTGTACAATCCCAACACACTATGGGGTCCCCAAACCTTGGCTCTTGTCAGTCTGTGCCGAATACTTTCTGAAATTGGGTAAGCAGGATGCATCCCACCAGGGAGACAGTGCACATTCTATTCTAGATGCAATGCAGGGAATTTCCATGTGTAGGTGAGATGCATGGAACTCTGTCTGGTTTGGATATTCTTAAAAGCATGGTGAACGGTTTCCGCATGTGAAGGCACCTGGCTGACCAATAAAAATGTTCTTCCCATTCAGTTTGTCTTCTTTCTCACCCTGATCCTTTTTCTACACTCACTGTGTTAAATATCACATGGACCGCATATGTGGCCCAGATTAGGGGAAGGCTTAATTGGATTAGAGCAGTGTTTTGTGAATCAGTTGTACAGAGTTTCATTGAAACTCTTGTTCATGCCTTCATCACCTCCATGCTCGACTATGCAAACGCCCTGCTTGTCGGCCTTCCAACACCTCCCTCGACAGGCTGCAGATAATCCAGAACTCTGCAGCCCGTGTCCTCTCCCGCACCAAACTCCGTGACCCCATCTCCCCCACTCTCGCTCGACTCCACTGGCTCCCTATCCTTCAGGGGATCCAGTTCAAAATCCTGGTCCTCACATCAAAGCCCTCCGTGGCCTCGCCCCACCCTATCTCTGTGACCTCCTAACCTACCAACCCGCTCGTTCCCTCCGCTCAGCCGGCTCTGGCCTGCTCCACGTCCCCCGACCCACCCACCTCACCATTGATGGGAGAGCCTTCAGCCACTCTGCCCCCAACCTCTGGAACTCTGTCCCCCAATCACTCCGCCTCGCCCCCTCCTGAGCCTCCTTCAAGTCCCACCTCAAAAACCTCCTCTTTGACCATGCCATCGGCCAACCCCCTTCCCCGCCCTGACCCCAGCTCGGGTCTGAAATGCTGTACACTGTCCAGCACCTTGGGACATACTCCCGATGTGAAAGGCGCTAATCAAATGTAATCTTGTTGTTGTCATTGGCATATTTATAATTATATACAATATAACTTGTCTGATTCTTTCCTTAGACCCTGGCAAGAGGATTAATTATGTGGGATGAAATCAAGCCTAACCCGACGTGGATTAATAGTAACGTGCCGCCTGTAAGTAGTTTATGTTTATAAATGCAAGTTAACGTCCTTGTTTCAACATTGTTGCATCTTCCCCAAGAGTATTGCGTTTATATAGCGCCCTTCACACGGGGCAGCGCCTTGGATCACCTAACAATGGCGGAACCTGACGCTGAGCACGCGTGAGAGAGGAGGTGACTACAAGTACAATCGAAGAGGAAGATCTTCAGTCATGATCTGAAAGAGGGGAAGGAGGGGGCAAGGCAACTGGATATTTTTGATACAGTGACTTATCAGGTCAAAACATTTCACACAATGAGTTATTTTGAAGTGTAATTTGTTGTTTAGCGTCTGCACTGACAGCATAATCCCTAAGGGCCTTTCACATCGGGAGGACGTTCAAAATGCTTTATAGGATCTACTGCAAAGTGGATTGACTGAATTTTACAGGCAAATGCCTACAGCAGCCCTTAAATAGTAAGTTAATGACCAATAAGATAAATGACCAATTAATCTTGTTAGGAGTCCAAAATAGCACCTGACTCCCTCTGTCTGTTGGGTGGAAGACACTTTCTGTGTGTGAGTGCTGCTGTTTATTCCACGTTATTGTATCCTGCAGTAAACTGAAGCCTGAGTGAAATGAAATCTTACAGTTAGCATTCTATCCGACTACACTACTGAAACACTCTTGTGGTTTATTTAAAATGTTGCCTTCAATCATTTACTGCCTACGCTTGGTAGTCATCCAGTAAATGATGACAGTGACACCTTTTGAATATCCTCTTCTAAACCAGAGGTTTCCTTGATGACATAAACTGGTACTGTGTATGATTTCTGTTGCAATGAATATGACGTCTAAGAGTTCGTTGATAAAAGGCAGCAAATATTTTCACTATTAGTTTGAGATGAGTTAAGAATAATTATATTGTCATTTAGTTGATCAGATACAGTTCCATTCTTCCTCATTCATGACATTTGTCTAAGTATAATCATGTTTGCCTCAGTAGGTTCCGTTGGTTACCTTTTCATTGAATCAGTTAAAGTAATTTAGGTCCATCATGTTAGTGCACCAATGTCTTGTTCCCTCACTGGTTTAAAGATATAAAGCCATCAAGTCTCCAAAAATCATGATCAAAGCCTTTGCCTTTCCATCCGACCCAATTAAGTCAACTTGTTTGTTCACCAACTATGGCTGATGCCAGCTGCTTCTTCCGTTACACCCCCATGCCCGGTATTGTCCTTTTTTGATATAAAGACTTATCATGTCAGAATGTATCACACAATGAGTTATTTTGAAGTGTAGTTTGTTGTTTATGTAGAAGCAGTAATTAGTCTGTTCCATGGCTTTGCTTGCATTCACTGTGATGACCTCTGGCAAAGTGCCATTGGTGATCTAGAAAGAAGTTACATTCTTATACCGCCTTAAATGTTGAGGGCTTCAAAGCGCTTCTCAGTAACTATTGTTAAGCACTGTTAAGACCATTTATTTTATTTGGCAAACGTGGCTGCCATTTTGAGCACAACATTATTCCACCATCTGATGTGAATGATCAATTATTCTGGAGGATTATTGGCCAGGACACCAGGCAAAACTCCTTTTTCTTTGTGAGTTATATCTTGGATCGTTATTGTCTACCTGAAGCCAGGCAGGTGGGACCTCAGTTTTAATGTTTCGTCTGAATTGCCCCTTGTTGGTTTCGAAGTTCAACAACAACAACAACTTGCACTTATACTGCACCCTTCACCCGGGGTAGCATCCAGGAGCACTTGGTCATTGGCTTTTCACTTTTTGCATTTATTGTGTAGCTCCAGGACTAGATTTTATTAATAACCCAGGTTTTGAAATTGCCACATTTTCTTAAAAAGCTTTCCTGAAGGATTCAGATTCTATTTCTTTCTTTCCATTGAGTAGTTTCCTCGGTTTGCTGGGGGTTGGGGCTGCTTGGAGGACTGGCTGTGGTCATCCTCAAGACTCAGGGCTTTCCCCTCCCAACTCTTCTTAAACAGCTGTAGACAGATTTGGGGGTTGCTGATGTCTATTGCACAGTAACAAATATTTTTTAGATCAGCTACAGAAATCACTGTTGTAAGTTTCACTTTGTTTTGTGAAATTAAAAAAATATTATCTCATGACCTGAGAAATAGAGAATGAGGAATGGGTTTACATTCCTTAAATCTGCGTCCACATGGTTTGGATGTAGTGATCTTGGTTTGTGTTTAGTTTAATCAATCAGCAATTCATGTGCCAACTTTTGATACAGAGCAATTTTGCGGTAGAACAGCTTTGCTGATAAGTTGCATTCATTGCATTATGATTTTTCTGCTTTCTACTGTCTTCCAAATTGATACTTCAATAAGGTTCTTCTTGTTCAGATTGTTAGACAGAATAATGTATCATTAAATACGACGGAAGGTCTAACACCGGAAGATATCGACTTGCAAACAATGCGGTAAGTTTTGAGACTGAATATTTTCTATATACAGTAGTTATGCAAAACACAGAGTACACAGAAGTCCAATTTGGTGCATATACATATGAAACTATAGTATTTTTAAAGTGTACTGCAAGCAGTGAGACCTGCTTTATAGTATTCAGTGCCATATCAGTACAAACAACAGTAATTTCAAATCAAAAATAAGCAATATGCATTTTTTTGGCTTTTAATCTCCAAATATCTGAGATGGGCTCTTCCAAATATATCTGGGATTTGACTTGTGGCTGCTCTGCAATTCTCGGAAGCTCTATAACTCAATCTGCTGGTGCGGTCAACAATGTAGGAAGAGGGTGATTTTTCTATCAGATTACTCAGAGAAAGAAGTTGCTGATATGATTCAGCCGTATTGATGCGAACCATAAGCGATAAAACAAAATAGATTGGCAGAAAATACAATCGTATTGGTATATGGTGATTTGACTGAAAGCACCAGGAATTGCATGTGATTATTTAATACTTTGTGTCATGTGATTACTTTAGGAAAAGTAAATGTAAAAAACATACAGCATGCAAGATTTCAACTGTTGGATTTCTTACTAAAATGATGTGCTTCTAAGAGCAGGAGCTATAAATGTGTCAATTCACAGGAAGTCAAATGTGATTTAATTTAGAAATGTTTGAAGTGTTGAATTAATTTAATATGCCAGAGGTGGGGGGTTGAACCTGGTTCAGTGTATAGCTGTGGTCTTGTTGACTCGCTGACACAAACTATGAACTGGACATTGAACATGCAACCCCTTTCATTGACTAAGATAAACAACTACACGGTGGGAGGGGAATGTCTGTTTCTGGCACATCTGGGTAAGTCATACTTGATTTTTTAGCAATTACTAAATATGAACCACAAATAAAATACTAGTGTAACTAAATGGACATTAAAACAAAAAGTACAGATTATGTAAAAAGACCCTTTTCCGATTTTGAAAGACTCATTGATTTTGGATGTCAGTTTAGTCAGCAAAAACAGCGGTTACTACAGCTGCTCTTAGAGCAGGTTACACCTTTCTGCAAGTTAAGTAATCATAGTGTGCACGCGAACACCAAACCACAAGCAACTTTTTTTTGACCTGTGACTCGATTTGTTTTTCTTTAAATTCATTGTATTTTAGTGGTGGACTTGGCTGAAATAATCCAATTCCTGCTGAAGCACCGATTCCTAGAAATCATTGCTGTGTAAAATTAAATGTCAACTATTGTGGCTTTTCCATAAAACTGAGTTCTCTTTTCTTAAACAAATCAAAATGTTCAAACTTTTGTAAGAAAGTTAGCAACGGATTAGCATTAGTCAGCAGCCAAAGTCACCACAGTTCTCAACCTCTGTAGTCACCTCATTCTCAACCTCTGTACAATAACTTGCATTTATGTCACACCCTTCATGTTGGGTAATGTCTTGGAGCACTTGATGCTGAGTTGGGGAGAGCGGGGAGGTGACCATAGGCAAGGTTGAAGAGGAATGTGTTCAATTGTGATCTGAAAGTGGGGAAGGAGGTGGCAAGGTGGAGGGATTGATGAAGTGAGTTCCACAGTTTCCGGGTGTAATGGCTGAAAGCACGGGTGCTGATGGAGGTGTGGGATGGATGAGGGATGTGCAGGAGGCTGCTACGTGTTGGTGGCGGGTAGTGGAGTGGGGTTTATGCAGGGTAGAGAGGTAGGGAGGTGCCAGGGCGTGAAGTGATTTGTAGACAAGTGGAAGGAAATCTTTAAGGGAGACAAAGTGATGGCGGTTGGTTAAGTAGGGCTCAAACCAGGAGAGTGCAGACCCTCTGAGATGGATGAAGGAGGAGAGATTGTGGAGGAGGACGGCTTGATCAAGGCAGTGGAGAGTTCCAGGACAGCAAGGAGGCAGAGGGGGTCCTGATCACACAAAGAGAGGGGACGTCATTTGTGACCTTGATAAGCACCGTCTTGATGCTGTTGGTAGGGTGGAAGCCGGACTACAGGGGCTCGAATAGGGAGTGGATGGAGAGGTGCTAGTAATTGGTTGGTTGGCAATAAGACCTTCAGGAACTTTAGAAATGAAGGTCAGGTTTGAAATGGGCTGGTAGTTTGCAACTTAACATAAGAACATGAGAAATGCTAGACGAAAAAAGACCAAGGTCCATCTAGTTCGCCTTCCACCTTCCTGGCGATCACATGCACATATGTACCAAACTATCTGTGTACTATATCCCATAATGTTATTTCCTAAAAGAAAACTGTCTAATCTGTGTTTGAAAGGTTCAAGACTTCCTGCTTCAACCGTCTCCCAAGGGAGCCAGTTCCACAGGTTCACTATTCGCTCACTGAAATAGTGTTTGTGTAGATTCGTTCTGAATTTACTCCCCTTCAATCGCAGGCCGTATCCTCTGGTTTTTTATTCTGGAACAAGTTGAAACAGCCTGTCATGATATATATTGTCTCACCCCTTCAGAATCTTAAAGACAGCAATCATGTCGCCTCTCAGTCTTCTCTTTTCCAGCATAAACATGTCCAATTTACTTAGTCTCTCCTCATAGTCCAGTCCTTCCATTCCCTCAATCATTTTGGTTCCCCTCCTCTGAATTTTTTCGATTCCTCCAATATCCTTCAATTTATTGTCATTCAGGACCCCCAGATCCTTTTCATTTTCCATACATATTATTTTCCTTCCATTCAAATAATAGTCCCTTCCAGAATTGTTTGTCCCCATGTGAAGTACTTTACATTTCTCCACATTAAGTTTCATCAGCCACCGATCTACCCAATTCCCAAGAATGTTCAAATTCTCCTGTAACCTATCTTGTTCAGCTTTGCAATCTACCACCTTCATTAGCTTGGTGTCATCTGCAAACTTAGCCACTGTGCTTGCAACTCCTAATTCTAGATCATTTATAAAAAAATATTAAACAAAAGAGGTCCCAAAGCAGACCCTTGTGGAACTCCCACTGATAACATTTTCCCAGTCTGATGACATTCCCTGTACCACCGCTCTCTGGGTTCTTCTGGTCCACCAATTGCATATCCATTGTAATATATCTCCATTGATTCCCGCTTTTTTTTTACTTTCAGTACCAGCCTCTCAAGAGGAACTGTATCAAAGGCCTTACTGAAATCCAGATATACAACATCCACAGCCTTACCCTTATCAAGCTCCCTTGTGACACCGTCAAAGAAAACCAGTAAATTGGATTGGCGAGACCTTCCCTCCATGAACCTATATTGGCTATGATTTATGATTTTATTTAGGTCCAGATGCTCCATGATTTTATCCTTAATAAAAGTCTCCATAATTTTACCAACAATGGACGTCAAACTTACTTAGAGGAATCAAGGGTAGGTTTTTTGAGGAGGGAAGCGATAACTGCAGATTTGAGATGGAGTGAGGCAGAGCCTGAGGAGAGCGACTGGTTAACTGTGACTGATTTTCCCAGGGTCAAATCCAGCCCCTGTAGTATGTTGTCTCAACATGCGCTGCTATCATTTCATAGATAAAAATGAAACTTTTTTAAGAAGTTAGCCAAAAATCACTTTTCTTAAAGCATTCAATTATAAATAACTGAACTGTACACATGAATAAATGTTCTTGTTCCTCTTTATGACCTGTGGTCCATTTACCTTCACAGCCAAGCACACATTAACATTATAGCTGGTGCTTGTATGGCAATGGGTCTCCGTTTTGCAGGTTCTTCGAATGCAGCGGCTTTCAATTGTTTGGTAAGTAATGTGTAAAGAAATAAAAACATTGTTTAACTTTAAGCTTATTCAATTCAAGCTTGTTTTCCCTGGTTGCAGTTGCTGCAAATTGTTGTTGTGTCAATTAATATACAAGAACAAAAACAAGAGATAAAAAGATAAGCCACAAATGTAGAAATCTGAATGAAAAACAGAAAATGCTGTTAATACACAGCAAATCAGTCGCCATCAGAACCATAACAGTGGTTTTGAGGCGGAGTGGGAAGAAAGGGAGAAACAAGTTAATATTTGGGTGTGGCCCTTCATTAGAAAAGAGATGGGAGGTTACACCCAAAATGTTAAGCTGCAAAAATACCCAAGAAACTGTCCAAAGTATACTTTACCTAAATAATTTCTTGTTGTTTTCTAGCACAAATACATTAAGATGTTTCTGGAGTCGGTCTCTGCACCTGCTGCCGCCTTGGTAAGTTATCTGTGCAAACTGAAGTATTATCTTGGTGTTCAGGAATCTGTGCTCTAAAACTAAATAGTACACAAGATCAAATATCACTCCACAAGTTTATGATGTTATTTTTATACCCTTTCTACCCTTTCTTTCTATTCTATGATCAATTTATAGCTGAAAGTTTAAATATTAGTAGCATTGTGGTGTTACATACAATTTAAATAATTGATGGTACTTAAAATTATACAACATATTAAACAATTGTAAGGAAATTTCAAAACCATTTTTCCTTTAATCTTTCACTCAATTTTCTTAAGCGCTGTTGGGTCTTGAAGCTTTGTCATGTGAGAGTGAGGTGATAGCACAATATGTAACATGTACAAGGTCAAGGAACAGGACAACGTACAACAACAACAAAATTACATTCCATAGCGCCTTTCACGTCGGGAGGACATCCCAAGGCGCTGGACAGAGAGAGTTATGGACCCGAGCTGGGGGTCGGGGTGGGGGAGGAGGATGGCGGTAGGGAAGTAGGGAGATCGAAAGCACGGTCCAAGAGGAGGGTCTTGAAGGAGGCAAGGGGGGGGGCGAGGTGGAGGGACTGAGGGATCTAGTTCCAGAGGGTGGGGGCAGAAGGCCTGCCCACCAATAATGGGGCGAGCGAGGTGGGAGATAAGAAGCAGGCCAGAGCCCACTGAGCGGAGGGATTGAGCAGAGTGGTAGGAGGTTATTAGGTCGCAAAGATAGGGGGGAGCAAGATCATGGGGGGCTTTGAAGGTGAGGACCAGGATCTTGAACTGTATCCTCTGTGTGATGAGAAGCCAGTGGAGTCGGGTGAGGATGGGGGTGATAGGGTCGCGGAATCTATTGCGGGAGAGAACATGGACTGTAGAGTTCTGGATGATCTGCAGCCTATGGAAGGAGGAGTTGGGGAGACTGACAAGCAATGAGTTTGCACAGTCAAGCCTTGATGTAATGAAGGCGTGTATGAAGATTTCGGCGGCCTGCGGCGTAAGACAGTGGCGGAGCTGGGCGACGTTGTGGAGGTGGGGGAAGGCAGAGCGGGTTATGGCACAGATGTGGGGTAGAAAGGATAGTTGCGAGTCAAAACAAGACGCCAAGGTTCCGGACATAGGTTCATGCCTGCCGATCTCCACAATACTGAGTTATTAATTTATTTAGAAAGAGGTGCGGAGTGGAGGCCGAACACATCCCTGTGGGGAGACCTAAACCCTGGCTAAGAGTTCGCTCTAGACCACTCTTATAAACTTTCCAGAAATCATTGTTAGTAACACTGATGGATGCTTGGGAGTTTGTCTTCAACCTATCTTTTCACTTCAGTTACAATTGTTCCAAAGAAAGCAGTGAAAACAATGAGTGGCCCATCACCCCACAAATTTCTATACTTGAAAAATAGGTTTTGATGTGTTTAAAGTTGAAGTTGGCTAATGTAATCATTAATGATGTGTTGTGCTAGGACTGTCACATGTCACACGTCGGGAACCGATTCACATCATTTACACTTTTTTCAAAAACAATTGTAACTACAGTATTATTATTTGTGGCACAGATGTTTTCAGTCAGATACACAGTAATGAAAAGTGACTTTGAATACATTTTATGGGCTTTTTATTCTGTTCAGTGTTCACAAAAAAACTGAAGGATAGGTTTGCTATTGATGTATTGCACCTTGAGGCAAGGGCACAGGTTTTTCACAAGACCTGATCACCTGGTGTAAGTCAGGGGCTTCCTACACGAGAGGAAGATTTGAGGGGAGCCAGCCCGAGAATTGGCATCCTAACGTTACTTTTTCACCAGCATCCACCTCCTGGTGAAGAAAGGGAGAAAATATCTTAACCAAACTGGAGCTGAAGGAATGTAGTGTTTGATTTGTCACAGCTTTTTTCTTTCAATGTTCAACAGGCTGGCCACCACAACCTGGAAACCTGCTTGAGCGTAGTCCTGCTTTCTCTTGCCTTAGTCATGGCTGGCACAGGCAACTTGAAGGTCTTGCAGTTATGCCGGTTTATGCACAAAAGAACTGGAGGAGAAATGAATTATGGATTTCACATGGCGACTCATATGGCTCTTGGCCTTCTCTTCTTGGGAGGAGGAAGGTAATCTGACAGGTTTTATTTTACAATACAATACAAATTACAATACAAAATTATATTTATATAGTGCCTTTTATATCTAGAGGATATCCCAGGGGGCTTAACAGTCCTTGGAGCTGAGCTGATTCCAAGGTGACATATTAGGCCATGGAATTTCAGAATCAAACTCACCATCTGTGGTGGTCTCGGTCGTCCAGTTCCTGAGCCTGGCAGGTCCGCAATGTCACTGATGATGACAGCCCAGCTAGCCTGGCGCATTAGCAGGACTTGGAAAGATAGATCAGTTACTGTGGACAGAGCATTTTCCCACTCAGCTTCTATTAACCCTGCAAGACAAAGCCCTAACAGATAGGTTAGTCCTTGCTGGACAGGCAGCAGGAAAGCTTGCCAGACAACAATTTCAATGGTAAGCTATGTGGTTTTAACTGGTTAGATTCCAGCAGTACCCCAACTCATATTCTTGTGTCCCCAAGCCTTTGCTCTTGCCACAACCTGCACATAATATTCTCCGGAATTAGGTAAGCAGAATGCGTCCCTCCACGGTGAGAGCGCACATTCCATTCCAATAAACAACTCTGGAATTTCCACGTGTAGGTGGGATACATGGAATTCTCAGTTTGGTTTGGATGCTCTTAAGCGTGGTGATGGGTTTCAGTTTCTGCATGTGTCAGACACTTGGCTGACCCCCCAAAAATTAACTTGTACTGTATAATTACCCCTAACAACAATAGCTTGTATTTATGAAGCTCCTTTCACATTGAACAGATTTCTCTGAGCGCATTAATGTCTTGAAACATTACAGTTGTTGTTAGTTGATTTTGAGAAGATAACTGTGTACTCCATTAAAGTGAGGGATACAAATGGGACTCTTCAGACCACTAATCGCCATTATGCTGACTCACTATATTTTTTCTATTGCTTTATATCTAGTTTCATATTAATAATAAAAAGTGTTGCATTCGTTAAAATTCAGCAAATGTTTTCTTAAATCCATTTCCTTGGCACAATGCTGTTTTGAACATTCTGGCAACCCATTATTTTACCACTGATCTTTCCACTGCATACACTTGCCTGAGGTATTGGTTGAACTGTTTCCACAACAATAATAATAATAATAATTACCTATAAGGCCATTCACGGCCTCGCTCCCTCCTACCTCTCCAACCTACTATCCCCCTACCTACCTGCCCGTACCCTCCGTTCCTCCGGCTCCGGTCTGCTCCACATCCCCGCCCCAATCGCCCTACCATTGGTGGTCGGGCCTTCAGCCTCTCAGCCCCGAGGCTCTGGAACTCTATCCCCCAGTGCCTTCGCCTTGCTTCCTCCCTCTCCTCCTTCAAGGCCGGTCTCAAAACCTTTCTCTTTGACCGAGCCTTCAGCTCCCCTCTCGACTCTCTTTCCCCTTCTCGCTCCCTCCCATCCCTCCCCTCACCCTGACCATTTCCCCCCTCCTCGCTCCCTCCCCTCCCCTCACCCTGACCATTTCCCCCCTGCTCGGGTCATGACCCAACTGTGCAGCGCCTTGGGACGTCCTCCTGACGTGAAAAGCGCTTTATAAATGGAATCTTGTTGTTGTTGTTGTAATAATAATCCTTGTATTTGATATAGCGCTTTTCACGTCGGGAGGACGTCCCAAAGCGCTTCACAGAATACACTGTAAAGTGAATTGACTGTATATTTGTGGGCGAACGCGGCAGCCTATTGCGCACAGCAATGTCCCACAAACAGTCGTAGATTGAAAATGACCAATTTATTATTGTTTTGGGTTTTGGAGGGATTATTATTAGGCTCTGTGTGGAGTAAGGAAACTTGCCCAAGGTTTCGCCCTCTGCCTGGAATTGAACCCAGGTGTCTCGCTTGCAAAGCGAGTGCTCTAACCACTGAGCTACAGGACTCCAAAATGCAGAAAGTATTTTGACTGGTCCATGATTGAATGAGACTGCAATGTCTCATTGTTTCTAAGACCAAGTCTATCATTTAGCTTCATTAGTTGTGAACAATAATTCATGATTTTAAAGCCAGGCCGTTTACAAAATGCATTAGATTTGCATCTCCTTAAGATAATGGGCTAATAACCATTTTTAATGCCCACATTACCAGAAAGTTGAAACCTTATTGATATGTGAGTTGTATGAGTTTAGCATCAACAATAACAATAAATGTTTTTTCTCAGGAAACATTTAATTTCGCATTGTTTTGTTTGTCCTTCACCCCCATATTGGCTGTTTATATCTCCTGGATGTAGACTTCATCTGCTTCCTGTGCTGTTTTTTTAAGCCTGTTGCACAGCAAATCGCATCCATCTTTCCATTCAAATTGGTGATTCACTTCATGGCTGTTTGTGAGACATTACTGTGCGCAAATTTGGGGTGCCACATTCATCTAGATAAAGCATTCGCTGGACTTTTTCACAGAATATTCTATGAAACACTTTGAGATATCCTCCCAATGTGAAAGGCGCTACGCCATATGTAAGGATTATTATTCCCCCCTTTCTGTCTATTGTACATTTAAGAAGCAAAATATCATTTCCAAGCTGTTTCTCTCTGTACTGGCAAAACGGTGCTGATGAACAAGCAGAATGTTTGAAATTGAGAGTTGGACAACAACAACATCTTGCATTTATATAGCACCCTTCATGTGGTAGCGCCTCAGAGCACTCAGACCTGTATTATTGGGGTGAATCTGAAATGCTGTAGCTCTCAGAAATGCTTTCCTTCGTAAAGGACACTATAAATGCAAGATGTTGTTGCAGTGGAATTATTCAGATGAAATTTGAGTACACTCACAACTATGATGCAAAACTATGTGTGTGCATTGCTCTGTGGCTGAAATCAGTGCTCTTTGTGAAGAGATTACTGCAACTGCTTTCATTATCAGTTGGTGATTTTAATCATCTCCTTACATGTTTGTTGCAGATATTCTTTGTGCACCTCTAATTCTGCAATTGCAGCTCTCCTTTGTGCACTTTATCCTCGATTCCCAGCTCACAGCTCTGACAACAGGTAAGTGTAGTATTTATACTACATGCTCTATGCATATAACAAGTGTAAACATAGCTCTATTAAATGCCATGTATAAACACTTGTGTAGAAGTCAATTGCAAGGAGCCATTAATTCCCTTCATACATGTTTATACATGGCATATAATAATAATAAACCTTTTTGATACAGCTGTGTTTACACATGGTCTGCACATGGCACTTAATAAATCCTACATTTATGCATTTCTGATTGTTCTCAGTGAAAGGCAGGCAATATATGCATATACTATATATATTATAATATGAGGTTGAACAGACACTGTTTATGTACCTCATATTGCCATAATTTTTACTGCCATTCTCTAAGCCACTCCTGGCACATGTTGCATTTTCAGTCATTTCTTAACTGGGAGAGGACACGAGCTGCAGAGATCTGGATGATTTGCAGCTTGTAGAGGGAAGCATTAGGGAGGCCGACAAGGAAGGAGTTTCCATAGTCAAGCCGTGAGGTGCCGAATGAGTGTATGAGGGTTTCGATGATCTGAGGGGTGAGGCAGTGGCGGAGTCGGGCAATGTTGCGGAGGTGGGGGAAGGCAGAGCGGGTCATGGCATGGATATGGGGGAGAAAGGACAGTTGAAGGTCGAACTAGATGCCCAGGTTCCTGACTGGCTTGGTGAGGTGGAGTGTACAACCGTGGATGCTGATGCTGCCAGTGCCTGAGGTGCTGAGGCGCTGGTGCAAGCCAATCAGGAGGGCCTCAATCTTGCTGACATTCAGCTGTAGAAAGTTGGTTCTCATCCAGGACTTGATGTCAGACAGACAGTCTGTCAGGACTTCAGTTGTCCTGGAATCGAGGGTGGAGGCATCCGCGTATATGTGGAAGTTGACCCTATGTCTTCCATCTTATCCTGATCACCTCTTGTTTAGCTGTATATTCTAAAGGCAATACAGTACAATCTACATTTATGTAGCACCTTTGAGAATATCTCAAAGTACTGACTGCCTGGGCATCTGAGCTGGGAGTGGGAGCCGAGAGGAGTGGGGAAGGGAAAGATGACTGAAGCTCCAACAGTAGTCAAGTACAAGGTGAATTGACGTGAACGTATAAACCCCGCATAGGATGAAATTTCTCAGGCCAGCCAAACCCAATCTTTCCAGTAGCCGGCTTGTGACCTAATCTTACCTTCTGCACCTCTTGTGGTCCCATCCATACTGCTCTTATCATTGAGTTGATCTTGGAAACAGTTGTTTATCAAGTGTATTTTGTTGCTATACAGAGTACATCAATAATTTTCAAACAGCATCAGTCAGTGAAATGGCATTCTAAATTTTCATTAGGTTTTGCCAAGAAAACAGATTGGATTAAAATTGTCTCCCTCTTAACACATTTCTTGTGTAGCACATACAGTATATGAAACACTGCAATCTTTACCCCAATTTGTGAAATTCTTAACTCAAAATCTCTTGACTTTTAAATGTTGCTACCTTTGTGAAGTCTCATCAATGCAAGCATCCGGTACTTTGAAAAATTTTAACAGGAAGGGTCAGTGGGCATATCTTTGCTTCCTGCAAATATTGATTATTTTTAACAGAGGTTGAGGGATGAGCCTTTTAAGGATACTTTTGAACCTTTTATTGTTCAGTAGTTGAAGTTGCTTCAGTTGCATGGAGATAATCATTGCTGAGCCAGGATATTGTTGACCAGTACAGGCTGGACAACATGGAGCGCAGAATGTAAAATTAGGCCACAAGCCAAAGATTTGACTAAATTAGGCTGAGACAATTCATCCCGTCCTGGGCTTGATGCCCACTCTGATATGAGTCAATGTTAAGGATGAGTAATTCATCCTTTTAGAGTGAATTGTTATTTGATTTGAGCTGATTATCTTCAATTGAGCAGCATAATTCCAGTGCATTTAATCCTCTCATCTCCAAGTCTGGATGATAATCTATTAATTTATACCCGGTGTTGGTTGAACTGTCAGGTTACTAATCTGACATTCTAAATACTAGCTTCTGCTCCCCTGTATTGAGCTATTCTTGTGAAAAAAGATTTATCTTGTGTATCAACAGGTTCAATTTAGTCGAGATGTTATGATGGTAGCTATGATTTTTCATAGCAAATAAATAGCCATTTTTCGTGAATGGCAAAATAAGGCATGACCATAGAGACCATAATCCTTTGTTAGATCCTATAGAGATTTAAGTTATCTATTTTAAATAGTGATGCGAAGGCAATATAATTTCCCCCCTTCTGTCCACAGATATCACCTCCAGGCTCTGAGACACTTATATGTGCTGGCTACTGAACCACGTCTGCTGGTGCCCATTGATGTGGATACAAACACACCTTGTTATGCCCTTATAAACGTTGCCTATAAGGTTTGTGAGCTCCAATTCACTATGTTTAGTTAAACCAGAATTACATGTGAAAACTAATGTTTGGTTTATTGATAGAGTAAGTTTTTTGGGGGGGATCGGGGAGGGTGGAGGGCAGGGGGGGAAGGAGGGTGATCAAAGGTATGGTTGAAAAGGAGGGTCTTGAGACGGGTCTTGAAGGAGGCAAGGGAGGGGGCGAGGCCAAGGGACTGCGGAATGGAGTTCCAGAGGGTGGGTGCAGAGTGGCTCAGATGTATCGAGGGGTTTGCCGTGGTATGGGGATGCGTAGGGAATGGGTTGCAGGGATGGGAAGGTGAGGGGTACAGAGATGATGATAATAATCCTTGCATTTGATATAGCACCTTATCATGTGGTTGAGACATCTCAAAGTGCTTCATAGGATACACTGTAATGTGGTTGACTGTATTTTGTGGGCAGAATGGGTAATAGAGAGGTGCAGAGATGAGTGGGGGNTTGGATTGGGCAGAGTGGGCATAGCAATGGGTGGCAGGAATAGGATGCGTAGGGACAGAGTGCAGGGATGATTGATAAAGGGTTCCATGGTGAGTAAATGAGTGAAAAAAAGGGCAAAAGGATTGATGGGCAGGGAGTACAGTGCTGCTAAACTTTTGTTCAATAATTGCATAAATAGATTTAGATTTTTTTTTAAATCTAGGCTTCTCAGTGGTGTGAGGAAATGACAGTAAACCTCATGGCACCAACCCTGCTTCCTGAACTACACTTGTTAAAAGAGGTAAAGTTAATTTCTCATTAGTGTTTACAGTATTACCATTACTGAATACCATTTAAGGTATCTCAGCATAATTCTTTCACTTTACTGAATGTTACTGTCAGTTGCATACAGTGTTATTACGAAAAGGAACCAGCAATACCAGAAAAAATATACTTTCCATTGTGGAAAGTGGTTGCCTGTCACTATAATCTAACAGCAGTATTTCAGATAACGTTTTCAATTCTCACACAAAGAGTCTTGTGGCTAAACATTGTGTGGTGTGTGTGTGTGTGTGTGCGCGCGAATGCACGGGCATTGGGTGGGTGGGAGGGGGAAATAAAACTAACATCTTAACATGCACAAGTTCAAATTATAAGGATAGCTCCTATTATCCTTATGTTCCATAATGTGGTGGTTAGCATGATCGCCTCGCAAGTGAGAGGACCCAGGTTCGATGCCGGGGCAGGGCGAAACCTTAGGCAAGTTTCCTTACTCCATACACCTATTTACCTGGTAGTAAGTAGGAACCTGATTGTCAGTTGATGGGTAGATCGCCTTGCGGCAATAATAATCCCTCCAAAAAAAGAAATTTGGTCATTCAATCCATAATTGTTCGTAGGACACTGTTGTGCGCAATTGTCTGCCACGTTTCTCTTTGAGAGGACAAAAGGGTGATTCCACTCATTTTTTTTTTGCAGATCAAAGTAAAAGGTCCCAAGTACTGGGAGATTATGATGGATCTAAGCAAAGGTCCTCAAAGCTTGCAGTAAGTAAATTATACCCCAACTATGTTGTGCCCTATTTATTTGGCAGGAACTTTACTCAAAAGCTGCGGTTTGAAACTTTAAAACGTACCATTGCAACCTTTTGAAATAGTGTCTGCATGAGACAACTTAGAATTGTGTGATGTTTACGTAAATTTTATTTCTTTCAGAGCAATTTTATCAAAAGATGGCTTCCTTTATGTCAAGCTACGAGCTGGACATCTCTCCTACACTGAGGATCCCAAAGGGTTTCGTAGTCTGTTAGCTCAAACGTTTACACATAGAAACCCTGAGTTCCTTTCTGTCAAGGTATAACCACAAGACTACTTCCTTTCGGGCCACAAAGTAATTTCTGTAAATCACGTTGACATCTGAACAATAGCTTAAGTCACCAGTTCTTGGTGAGCTAACATCTAAAACATGCACAGCTTGTTTCATACTGACACTAGACGTTTGCTGGATTTGAAACTGCATTGTGCTTCCTTCACAGCCTGAAGCAGTTTCAGCATTTACTTCTGACCCAGCACTGCTGTCATTTGCAGAGTATTTCTGCAAACAGTCAAACGAAAATGGGCAGGTAAGAGCCCATCTTAGAAATACAGTGCAAAATAACACAAGCTGCTTCTATATGTACATCATAATAATTATATTGATTACAGTGCTTTTTGGTAAGCAGCTGTCATACCTTTGTTTCAAGTTTTCTCTTACTGTGTGTCACAGAATATTTACCATGATATTCATCCATATAATGAGACTTAACTGAAGAACCATGATTTGAATGAGGTATAAGTTGCATTAAACAATTAATAAGGAATTTGATATTAAATGAATTTGAAAAGTAGTGACTAATTTCAACATAATCCCTTTTGCCAGATTTTCTTTGAGAAGATGGTTGATTGGTCTGTTCACAACCAATCTGGCACAAGTGTAAATTACATCAGGCCTTAAATTTAGCCATTGTGTTAGAAGCAAATTTTGCTTTTCACGATTTTCTGCTTCAGTGTAAAAGGTAGACTGTTAGAATTTTTCATAGCAAATAAATAGCCATTTTTCGTAAAAGGGATCACTGGAACAGTTGTCTTTCTGGTGAGAACAATCTGACTTCATAATTGATAGTCAATATCATACAGGAGTACTTTTTAATATCATTAAAATTGTTCTTTTCTTTCAGAAAAAGGAAATGCTGGACTTGTTCTCATCGATTCTTTATGAGTGTGTTACGCAAGAGAAGCCAGAAATGCTGCCGACCTATATGGCCATAGATCAGGTGAAATGGGTCAATTTTATGGGTGGGGGGGAGGTATTGGTAACATAATAATAATCCTTGCATTTGATATAGCACCTTATCATGTCTTCCAAATGTCTCAAAGCGATTCACAGAATATACTGTAAAGTGAATTGACTATATTTTTTCTGGAAAAAAGATATTCTCATGATATTCCACCCTTTGTTTTTCCTGAATACATCTTGCTTTCAGTACTTTGCATTAACTTGTAAAGATGGATTGTTTGCAAGTGGCTGTTAGGAGTGATAGGTGGTCCACTTCCAGGCTTCTCTTCAACCGTGCCTTCAGCTCCCCTCTCGACTCTCTACCCCCTCCTTGCTCCCTCCCTTCCCTCCCCTCACCCTGACCATTTCCCCCCTGCTCGGGTCCTGAACCAACTGTCCTGCGCCTTGGGACGTCCTCCCGACGTGAAAGGCGCTCTCAATGAAATGTTGTTGTTGTTGTTCTGGCAATGCTATTCTATAACCAGTCACAAATGTAGCTAAACTGACCCTATTTCAAAGTTTTCTTTTTTATTGGCACAAAACATCTTTTTTTTAAAAAAGCTTAAAGAGTTTTTTGGCCTAATTGGTGAGTAAAGCACACCTCTATGTTTTCTTTAACCATATATCAGCACAATAGGTGCCCAAATATTTTCAGTACTTTGCATGGACTCGTAAAGATGCATTGTTTGCAAGTGACAGGTGAGCACCAATATTGGTTGTCACTTCCTCAATTTGTTCTTTCATTTGTTTATTATATAATCTCAAATTTTTTTAAAAAAACTTCCTTATTTATACAGTCTCTGCATACAAATGAGAAATCCATTAACAGGGGGCTATTTAAGGCATTTTCCCGTGAAGACTTAAGCCCTGCAGGATTTCTCACTTCCAGATTGGTTTCCCATACCTTGCTGTATATAAGAGCCTCACCTAACCCTGCTGAGGGGGTATTATCTCCATTATCAACAGCTGAACAAACACTCAAGATACTGCTCTGTGTGAAGGGCACTGTATAAATGGAAGCTGTTGTTGATGATCACTTGTGCAGTAAAAACTGACAGAACTGCATCTACATGATAAAACTAGTTGGATGGGTGGATGTCCTCGCTAGACAACCAGTGGCAAATTACACGATTTTAGTTGGTTAAGCTCCACAGTACTCTAATGCACCTTGGTTCTGAAACTTTGTCTCTTGCCAACCTGTGCTAAATATGTTACGGAATTAGATAACTTGGGAGTCTGTTTTGCCAGGGAGAGAATATACATTCTATTCTCGACACAGAAATTTCTATGTGTAAGTCAGATGCATATGTGGAACTCTGTCTGGTTTGGATACTCCTAAGAGTGCTCTGGGACTCTATCCAATGTAAGGAGTGCTGTATAAATGCAAGTTGTTGTTGTTGAAAAATCATTGATTGGTCATCCTCTCCAGAAATAATTTTTGGTCAATTTCCTTCTTATGAAAGATCTAGTTCTACACTTGCAAATATACACGACATTAGTCCACTCCTTCCGGAAAGGAGAAAGGGGAGGGAACAAATGGCAAGTCACACATTGCCAGCATTGGGAAGGTTTCTATGAAGAACATCAACAATGTCTGAAGGACTTAGGACCATAAGTTTGAAGTTTTTTTTGAAGAGAGGCTCACCAACTGAATTTGCATTCATTTGAGAGAATGAATGAGAGGCAGCATGATCCAGGTTTTTAATCAAACAAAGTGGGTATCTTAGCTCTCAACAGTTAGGACTGAGAGAGCTGAACTGGAGAATGCAAATATGAATCCCTCAATTAAGAATTAAGGGATCATGTGTAAAATATGCATAAATGAAAGGAAAGAATGGTCTTGATGGACCTAATTCCCTTTTTTTACAAAATATATATTTTTATTTGTTGATGTATATTTACGCTTGTTTCAGATAGTATCAAAATCGTTGCAGAAAAATAAACACAACATCTTATTATCCTGGTTGGTGAATGCACTCCACTTTGGTGGAGGGTCCAAGGCTTCCCCACCTCGGGATTTTTCCGCCCTTTTGCAGGGCGCAGTTACAAATGGGATTTTGTACCCCCCTCCCTATCCCCCCCCCCCTCTTAGTGGGGAGTGCGGACAGGTTCACAGCACAGAGTTATTTATTTAGTTAGTTATTTATTTAAATGCACGCATTTTTAAAAAAAAAAAAAAATTTTTGGGACGCTCCCTTTAAGACAGTCAGGAATATCCCTGTGTGCACTACAATTTTGCATCCGAACACACCCTGATAAGCGCACTTACCGCTTTTGGATGGTGCCCCGATGTGCACTGTCCACATACGTGTTTACCCAAATACACACTTGGAAACCTGGCACACACATTCACTATATACCCAACCAGCCCCACCCCTGTCACCTCGGTTTCCCTGCCGGGGAGCTGTTTATGGGGGGAGGCAGGCAGACATACATACATTTTCGGGACGCTCTTTGGTTACATCTCGAGCGTTCCTCTGTACATTTATATGGTTACACACATGTTTATTTACAGTTATCGGTCTAATCTTCAATGAAAGCTTTGTTCTTTTCTCCTTAATTTCCTCCTCTTTATGACCTGGCTTGGATTGAAAGCTTACTGTGAGCCCTCACCCACCTCACTGTCCCAGTGCATGAGTATCCCAGCACACTGTTATATAGGGTATTCACAATAAAATATTTGTCATGAGCAATTACTAATCAAAGAAGATACATTCAAGCCATTATGTAAACATTTTTAAAAGAAATGCTACAATATTTCTTCATGACATTTGTTTATTTTATTGCAAGTTTCACAAACTCAAAGTATATATAAATAACAAAGCTTTGTTTTCTGTTTTTCTCTCCAATTTAGGCTGTGAGACGATTGGAACGGAGGGAGATGTCAGAAACCTTTGAGCTCTGGCAGATAAAATTAGTTCAACAATTCTATAACTCCGTTTGCCTGCAGGATAAGTTTAAAACAAACACAGGGCTCCTTATCAACCCCGAGTTTCTTCTAGCTATGAAGAGTACATTGGATAAAACACTGGATCAGTGGCTTCATGGTAAGAATTTTAAGTTTTAATTAAATTTTTTCCACAACCTCTCCATTGTCTTGCTATTTTATTTGTGTTGTTTAATTCAAAAGCTAAATATGCATATTAATCACTTTTCTGAAACAGTGATGAGTCTCTGCATGTTTCTGACCAAAATAAATCTTCAGTGTAACTGGATAATACTGTTTTACTGAAAACATGTCTTTCCTGTAAAATAAATACCTTCTTCCTCATTGAATATTTAGGCTTTGATAATAGGATCCAGATTCAGTATTTTATTCAGCAGTAATTATAACATTCCTTTGACTTCAGTATATAATTTGAGTAAATGTACTTAAATTTGTGGAAAGGTATACTTTTTTAACTAAATTTTGATTATGTTGATTCAAAGGTTTTTGCTTTATACTTTTACTTCATAGTATCGAGAGTTTTAATATACACTAGATCCCATTATGTGAAATCCTCATTCATGCCTTCGTGACTTCATGGCTGGACTATTCCAATGCTCTCCACCGCCTGGATACTCACCCCCACAAAATTCTGTAAATACGAATGGATCGATTTCAAGATCGCTTGCTCGTTTTCAAATCCCTTCATGCCCTCGCACCTCCCTACTTATCCAATCTGCTTATCCCTCACTCCACCCACTGCCTCCGCTCGGCTGGCTCCGGCCTCCTGTTTGTTCCTCGTGTTCTCCGCTCCACCATCAGTGGCCGTGCCTTCAGTCTCTACACCCCAAAACTCTGAAACTCTCCCTCAATATCTCCGCCTTACCTTCTCCTTCCTCATTTTCAAATCCTGCCTAAAGACCTTTGATTGTGCTTAAGGTAACCTCCCCCCTCCCTCTCCCCCTGGCTCAGGGTTAGATTCCACTACTGTCAAGAGCTCCAAGACGCTACCCTAGTTGTTGTTGTACTATAACTCTATCATTGGGGGGAGGGGTGTGGTTCATAAAATCCCAACTAGTCTTATAACAGAATCCAATCGGACTAAAATATTGGCAACTTCTAGGCCATCTGTCACCACCAATATCAATCCCTGCATGTTGTGTGGCAAGTCAGTTGGCATGTGGGAAGTAGGCCAGTCTATATGGCCAAGCCAAACACACGTCCACAGGGCTCCAGAGTAAGGGAGGCACCTTATAGCAAGCTTCTACTGTATTTGTAACATTCAATAATTTTACCCCAAACTGTAATGTTTTAGAGTTTTTTGTCAAAAAAATTAACAACTACATTCATACACAAATAACTTGTATTTATATAGCACCTTTCAAGTAAAATAAACAGCTAAAGAGCTTTACAAAATACAGTGCAAGTCATTATAATGCTCCACTGTAATATGGGTTTGCTTATAATCGGTTGTTTTCTGAACCTCTACGTTTTCTTGCCTGAAAATCAAAATTGCACCAACTAGTTTCTGTCATCATGAAAAAAATAACCAGCTACCGAGTCATCAAGTTGGCAGTAGCATTGCTTTCTGCACCCTGCACAAGTGTATTATGCACAAGAAGAGCTGCTATTGTCACTTCCTGTGCATGCATGCATCTTATAGTTAACCATTTTACTGTGCCTCATTATAACACAGTGCCTGAGATGATATAGGGTAATCCCATTTATAACATCATAACAGTGTTATAAAGAGGTTATTCTGTATAATTAAGGTGAATGAAAATTGGGAAGCAAACATTGCAGCAAATCTTTTGCCAGCAATAAGCCCAACGATAACAATGAGATAGATGAACAAAATTATAATTTTCTCTAGAACACATGATTTCCCCAAACAATTTTTCACATTAAAGTTAAACAGGCATGCTGAAGACAAACGGAAATCAGATCCTCAAACACAGGATACCCTCTTCCCCAACAAATACACTCACTCAGCAGCAACTTTAGAACCCAGTGTCACTAGCCTTAATTAATATTTTTGTTGTCTTGGACAGGATGTAGGAATCTTACCTTCATTTGATGATTGGTTTTAGAGAGCAACCATAGGCGTGAAGGGTGCTTTATAAATACAAGTTGTTGTTGTACCATAACCTTCTCCACTCTGAAAACATTGAATTAAAAATGTTCTTTACGTGGTTTCTTATAAGAACTAATCTATTTTGCAGTTCTTCACTCCCTCAAACTTAAAGCCAACATGCTTGTGGATGTGTCTGGCATTTATGCCTCAAACACTAAGCCAATATATAGCTTTGCTATACTTTATTTCTAATAATAGTTAAATGGTTTAAGAAGGGGTTTTTGACTCCTCATAACACCAGTTCCAGAGGCGAGTAAACAGTTCTTATGAATTTGCATCTGGCCACTGAACTGCTTCTGCATTCCCCACAGATAATTAACCGATTTACAGGTTCATTCAAAATGAGACTTTGATGGTAATAATCCATGTCCAGGCCCAGAAATTCCGCACGGTTCGCTCAGAACACACAAACTTAATGAGTGACGCCAACTAATGAAGTTAGAGGTGGAGTTGATCTGTGTCACAGCATACCCAACACCGATTCTTCAAGATCAATTATTGTCTCATGTAGTGAGAGTACAGGTTTATCATAATGTATCTTCAGTTTTAATGGGAAAATAGTGCCGGCATTTCACTCAGTCAGCTTTTATCCAGAAGTTGTTTTTACGAGGGCTCCTCTCAGTCCCAGTGTTTGAATTTGTACTTTATGCAACTGCAGTGTCTGATCAGCATTAATTTGTCACGGACAGTCATGTGCATTAAGGAGCACATGCTGGGGGGAATTGGAGCATTTCCTTAAATTAGATCGACTCAAACGTTTTGAGAGTTATGAGCCTATCAGAAATTGAGCTGTCAATTCTGTACAAGCACAATAGAGCGGATATATTCAGAGCTGAGAGTCCTCACATAAAGCCAACATGCTTGTGGATGTGTCTGGCATTTATGCCTCAAACACTAAGGCAGTATATAGCTTTGCTATATTTTATTTCTAATAATAGTTAAATGGTTTACATTCTACAGAAACTGCGAGTTTATGTGTAGGGCCAGGGGTTCTGTTGGTGGGTGATTTTATTTTTTTCTGTCTTTGGGATGCCTGATGAACAGTGAAACAGGTGAGGAAATGGAAATAAAAGATTTGCTAAATTCTACCTATCTATTGGAACAGGCTGAATGGCCTTCTGTTACAATAAAGTCCTTTGTTGATTTGGGGAAATGACTAGTTATTTGGGGTCAGTTCCTGGGCATCTCTTCTAACTTTATGAAATGAAGATTCAGAGCATGCGTGATGCTCAAAATAAGCGTGTTAATTAATTAGTAACAAAAGTCTATTGTCTAAAAAAATTACCCCTATGTAAATCTTTTTCCCATAAAATTGTTTTGCAGGATCAGGTGATGTGCCTTTGCATTCCTATCTAAGTGGGCAGCCTGTGGAGGAGTCACAAATGAATGTATTGGCATGTTTCTCAGTGTATCATTCAATCCCTACCATTCGACAAATAGCAAGCATACGACTTGAAGGTAATGGTGTGCAGCTACTTGTTAAGGTTTCTGGTTGTAGAATGTAAAGAATTGTCAAATAATTCAGCGTTTACTGAATGGCATAGTTCTGTAAGCTAATTAATGAGAAATAAGATGTAGCAAGTAGAATTCTGTTTGCTGAGAAGGTTTTTTTTTAATGGAGGGAAGTGAACTTCCTTCTTCCAGATTAGTGGATTTTTTGCTCATTTTGTGTAAGACAGCAATAGTCGTGAATAGGCAAGGACTGGACAACTGCATCTGCTTTGACCCCTCAGTTAAGTTGCAACCAACGTTACTCTTTGTGCAAACCACAGCTTGCCTGGGTTGATAGTGCACCTACCTCTGGGTTGAGAGTTGAGGCACCAAGTCGGAAATTGACCTTATACGGTAGTCTAAGATGCCACTGCAGTGTAATACTGAGAGGAAGGTTGGAGGGTATACCATTGCAGGATAATGATGCCAAATCAAGATCCTGTCTGTCTGTTCAAGTGGACTTTAAAAATCCCATGACACAATTTTAATAGAAAAGGCAATTTCTCTTGGTGTCCTGGCCACCAGACCTCCAGATTAATAATAATAATTTTTGCATTTATTAAAACGATGGCAGGACATCTCAAGGCGCTTTGTGGAGTCCTGTAGCTCAGTGGTTAGAGCACTCGCTTTGCAAGCGAGACACCTGGGTTCAATTCCAGGCGGGGCGACACCTTGGGCAAGTTTCCTTACTCCAATAATAATCCCTCCAAAAAACAAAAACAATAATAAATTGGTCATTTTCAATCTACAACTGTTTGTGGGACATTGCTGTGCGCAATTGGCTGCCGCGTTCGCCCACAAATATACAGTCAATTCACTTTACAGTATATTCTGTGAAGCGCTTTGGGACGTCCTCCCGACGTGAAAAGCGCTATATGAAATGCAAGGATTATTATTATTATTATTCAGAGGATTTACTAGACAGTGCAGTGACTGTGGATTATGTAGGCCAAAATGGTCACTCCCTTTTGCTTACAAATACATTCACTACATTTGACAGTGATTACTTGTGAAATAGTTTGACATTTCAGTATAAGTGTTTCAATGTGAAAAGTTACTATTAAAAGTTCCATTTCAGCTTTTCGATTTGTCTCAGATTTGCTTATCACGTAATGATCAAAAATGTGGTTGTAATTGTAACTTACAGAATGTTTGTGACTATTGCCAATTGCTTATAAACATAACTAGAATTGATATGTTGTTACTGTACTGTATCTCCCAACTAAATGGAAACGTCTGAGAATGTTTATATATTTATGTTTCTCTGCACCCTTTGTTACATTATATGAGAACTGGACCAACATTTTTAACAGAGATATCTAAATTTGTGCGTTAGAGACTGGTTCGAACAATCTATTTTCATGCATCTTATATTTGCTGTTTTATTCATTGTGTTTTTAGGTACTTCAAGTTTTTCAGAACTTCTGGTGAAATTTAGTCAACTCCATTTACCAGTACAAGCACTGCTGAGATTAGCACCGGTGATTCTTGGCAGTCCCCAGGCCATGTTGCTTTGACAGCCCCTGGGATAACTAGCCAAAGACTGAATAGGACCAATGCGAGATTTGTTTGACTGTTCATTAGAGATTGATCAAAGAATGCTATTAAAAGTGTAAGTACTTCCTCAATAAAGTTACAGTTGTTGCTGTCTTAACGCATGCTAACGGACTGTAAATAACCACTATCTGTTGCTGTGTATTGTCAGCAGGTCTCTGATGTGCATCTGTCAGTTGAAGATGTACTTGCAACAGATGAATTCAATTTGTGAATAAAGGTATTTACTTTTGCAATTTGTGGTGATTTTTGTACAAAATTTTCTTTAAAGCAGTTTAAAATATTTGTTTAAAAAAGGACAAAATAAGGGAGATAGAGCATCTCATGATGACTTGGTGAGTCAATGTAACAATACACTATGTGGCTTGATACTGAGCCATATCGCCCAGGTTTGAAGCTGTCGTTGCAGTTGACCCCTGCAGAAATAGAAAATTCACCAACTCCAGAGATTGCTGTCAAGTGTCTTTTTTCTGGAAATGGGTACATGTGTGAACTTCAGGTGTGGATATGGTCAGTCTAGGCTCACAATCGAATAGTGTGCTTAAGACTTGATACCCATGCTCCCATGAGGAGGCTGGCAAGCCTCCCAGAGGATTTCTGGCAAGTGTGAAGAGTACTACCTTCAGGGGAAGAGGGTATTTGCACGAACAGTTGTGACACTGAATAATTGATGGACTTAACCAGAGAGAATGCAAAAAGATGAGGTGAATCAACTCAAGACACCTGGATGAAGAATAGAATATCAAGATCTGGATGAGTAATGGAACAGCATAGTAAGTCAATGGTGAATAAAGTAATTGTGTGTGTATTATATATAAATATATATATGTATAATATATATAAATATATATATGTATAATATATAAATATATATGTATAATGTATATAATGAGAGAGAGAGAGATGTGTGTTTTTTAGAATCTAGAAATCAGCAATGTGAAGAGCATTGAGACCAACATCCTCCCGCTCTGAAAGGCCCTAGTTAAATATAAAATTGTACCTTTCCCATTCTTTTCTCCCACTCAATCAATCATTTGAACATGTAATCTTCAATAGTTCTGTAGGGATGATAAACTAAATGCAAGTTGTTTTACTTGTATGTTAACTGAGGGCGATAATTAAACAGTGCCTTCAAAATGTGACCTTTGTTTTCCCCAGGGTTTTTGATGCCAGGCCAGTTTATCAGGCATCTCTGGGAACTGTCAATCCCAAAATTTCTTCTTCAAGATTTACAGTTTCACACAGGAGTAAATGGTTCTTTTTGTTGACTTTGAGCAAACACGTCAATTAATTCTATGTGAATTGTTTTGAACCAAATATAGCTCGTGGGAAAGTGCGATAGTTGATAAACACCCACATTTATATAATACTGAGGCCTGAGATCTGGTTTTGTAAGTTTTTGTTCTCCAATGAAATCACAAATGCTCTCCAATGAAATCACAAATGCTCAAGTGCAGTTTTTTTTTCAAATTGTCTCATCCTTCCTGCCATAAAAGTTTTTTCCTTCTACAGTTGTGCCAAGAAATTGGACCTTTTAAACCATAGTGTTCAAGAAATCATTAGCATGACTGCTTGCTGCTTCAGCTAGAGAACTGGGGTTATATGCTGCATTTTTTGGTTTACATTTTCTCCCTTATTTGTGAAGAGCTGACTCATGCTGCAGCACAGTTCCATGCGCAAGGATTCTCTGAATGTGTTCCCATAAGGCATGATTTTCAACCTAAAAAAACTTAGACAAGGGAGGCAGGTGTATATTAATTTGCAGATGAGAGAAAGATGGACATGTCCAAACTTAGATAAGTGACCAGGTATTCCCTAATTAACAGAGCAGTCAGGCATGTCCAGGCATATAGGCAGGTGTAAGCAAACAGACCAGAGATTCAGGCATGTCCAAACATAGATGATTGACATAGGCATGTCCTAACCTACAGACTGGTGTTGTAGGCATATCCAGACAGACCAGAGACACAGGCATATCCTAATTTAACATTAGAGACATCGGGATTGTTCAGACTTAGACAAGTGATGTAGGCATGTTTTTTAGTCAGCTGGGTATCTGACACACAGAAGCTTAAGAGTTTTCAAAGCAAACAAAATAAATCTAGTCCCATATATGTACGGTTTCCATTTGCCTGATATAGAGTGCACATTCTCTACCCAGAAAGACACAGCCTGCTAACCTCATCCCAGAGAGTTTAAGTGGAGGGTGGCAAGAGTCGAGGCATGTGATCCCTAGAGTCTGCTGAATTGGGGTCCTTATGGTTTTTGACCCGCTAACACCACACAGGTTGCCATGGTGAACATTGACAAAATTCCCACTGCTCGTCCAGTGAGGATCACCTTTCGAGTTTGGACTTTAGTTTGCATTTCGGACTTTTGCTTGCTTTTGTCTATTGCATGTCCTAATTTACCAATGAAAGGTGCAGACGTGCCTGAACAGAAAAATGTCTATCGCAGTGAAACCTGGACATTTCCAGTAACAAAAATTATATTATTTTATGTTGTTGTTTAGGGTCTTTCATGATCACATAAAAAATATAATTACAGGATCTAGGCATGAGATGTGATCTTATACCTGAAGGACAGTCTTTTGCTTTTTATATTCAAGCTTTATTGAGATGAGGACTCGGACAAAATTCCCAAACAAGTCTTTTGGTGTGGAATCAGAGTATAATAATAATGACAAATGAAATAGCCACTCCTAGCAATGTGGAGCCAGGTTATGGGTGGTTGCAGATCATTTTATATACTATATATAATAATCCTTGCATTTGATACAGCGCCTTATCACGTCTTCGAGACGTCTCAAAGCACTTCACAGAATGCATTGTCAAGTGAATTGACTTTATTTTGTGGGCAAAAAAAGTACCATAGTTTTATTTAAGAAATGTGGGTGGAGTAAGGAAATTTGCCCAAAGTTTCGCCCTGCTGAGAAAGGAATCAAAACCAGGTCCTCTGATGAGGTAAGTGCACTACCACTAAACTATGGGACTCTTTCTGTAAGTATAGTGACTGTCTTTAGTAAGCAAAAGCAGCAGCCAATTGGCGCACACCAATAGCGGTGGCAAACAGCAGCCTGACTGGACTCAATCAGAGCATGCAGCTTTATATTTTCACAAGCTGTATCCATTGCAACTTAGCTTTGTCTGTGTTCTTTGTTTTGTTCCCGCCACTTGGCTACCTGTATGCTTGTGACGCAGGATGCCACAGAGCCACGGTCAGCCAGCGTGGAGACCAGGAGTAAGTGCATGCGTACACACGTAGGGACTCTGTGACGCATGATCCCACAGCGCCACTTTGACTCGGTGGCGGTAACTACAGCAAAACCACTTAAAAGTGAAAATAACTCATGAACGATAGGCAATACTCAAAAACAAATATGCCCATGTCATTCCCAGTCGCAAGACCTTTCCGATGAGGTATAAATTGTGTCTCTACTTCAATCGGTTATTGCGATCCTTCTTGAAGCACAGGCAGACATTGTTGTTTTATTAATATATATACTGGCTGTAGAAGACAGATAGATAGATATATAAAGACAGATAGAAAATTTACACTGCTTTATAGAAGAGAGGTGGCAGTCACCACTCAAAAGTAGCAGTAGTATTAGTGGTGGACTTTTTGCCTACAAATGTTGCTTTCTCCCAAGTGGAGTCCTGTAGCTTGGTGGTTAGAGCACTTGCCTCGGAAACAAGAGGATCTGGGTACGATTCCTGGGCAGAGCAAAATGTTCACTTACAGGGCGAAACGTTAGGCGAGTTTCCTTGCTCCACGCGCCTCTGTTTACCTAGCAGTAAGTAGCAACCCAGTTGCTAGTCGATTGGCAGATTCGCCCACAAAATATAGTCAATGCACTTTACAGTACTATGAAGTGCTTTGAGATGTCTAGAAGACGTGATAAAGCGCTATATCAAATGCAGTGATTATTATTAGTAGTATTATCTGTTGTTAACCACTTCACTATTCCATCTTCCTCCCTCTCTCTCCCCCACCCCCTGCACACCCCACTGATAAATTTGAGTGAAGCCACAAAGCACAGAGCTGCCTAATAGCTCACTAGAAACAAACAGTGACAGATGTACTGATGTGTGCCTGTACATTCAGCACCTTAATATGGAGCACACTGGCCTTCAAAGTTCAAACTCATAAAACAGCAAATGTCGAGGCTGTAAATTATTGTTGCTTTCAGAATCTTATCACACCAATGCCTTAAGATACAAGACCTAATTAGCTCTTCCCTAAAGACAGATAGTGGATCCTAGATGCTACCATGTTAATCATTAACATTTCCCAACACCAATAAACATGCCATGAATACTTCTGTACCCAGCTTATGGTTTGACAAAATGTGGTGAAACGAGATCAACGGAAGGGGACTAATGAATTGAAGGTAAACTAAATTTGCTTTAAATGTTATAATTATAATAATAATCCTTGCATTTGGTACAGTGTATCTCATATCGGGAATGTAATAGTAATTTGCATCCCTTTGCTAGTGTTAAAAATATCCACCTGCCAATTTTCTCTCCTCCAATGAAGACCCAAACTCATATGACGGCAAAGTTCATCAAGTCACTCTCACCTCACCTGAGTGGCTATTGTTTAGCTTTACTGTCTACAAATCAGGCCAAAAANGAGATACTCCACCATATATAAAATATTAAATGGTGCAAATACAGTAAAGCCAAACTATTATACCAAACTAAGCCAGAAAGGAACAGGATCAATGAAAGTGAAAAAATGTTTTGTTCAGCCGAGTGTCTGACACCTGTGGAAACCCATTACCACGCTCAAGAATATTAGTGAAAATTACATTTAGATTTAGGGAAAATAATCTTAAAATTAGTGTGATTTGTTTGAAGTGAGATCATTTCTGCACACTGACGAATGTGACAATGTAGAATGTGCTGTCCCAGAATGCTGTAAATTGTATAGCGCCTTGGGATGTCCTCCCGACGTGAAAAACACTATACAAATCTAATTTGTTGTTGTTGTAGATGAAGAATTGTTGGGATATTCAAAAGGAAGAAAGGTAGCTCCTTGGGAAGTAAAGATAATGGGGAATATGGTAAAGACAGTGAATTGGGATCAAAGGATGTGTTATGAGTTAATAAAATGCCGGAACAGCTCAACTCGGCTGAATGTCTACCACTGTTATAAATAGATATCAAGTAAAACTGAACTTAAAAACATAAGTGTTATTCAAATTAGTTAGAAGCAAGACAAGAAAGTTGAT